TATACTCAAGAAATGGACGCAGGGGGTATCAGAGCCCTGCTGAAGTAAGTCTTGCTCTGTGTGGTGGGCCCCTGCACAGCTAATCCTCCAAGGTAGTCAGAGGTTGGTGGCTAATGGGCACAGCCAGTCCTTGCAGCTGATCAGCCTGAGTAAATCCCTCCCACTGACATACCAACAGTACTCAAGACTCAATTACAACAGAAGGATGTCAAGTCCATATGAAGGGTGCACCTCCGAGGGCCCAGCTCTGTAAGCCACCCTAGGAAGCCTAGGATAGATAGCAATTCTACCTAGTACATAGAAACAAACATAGGCAGCAGCCAAAATGAGAAGACAAAGAAACATGTCCCAAATGAATGAAAAGAACAAAACTCCAGGAAAAGAACTAAATGAAATGGAGATAAGCAAACTAACAGATGCAGAGTTTAAAACACTGCTTATAAGGACGCTCACTGAACTTGTGAGGGCTTCAAGAGCATAATAAAGGACAAGTCAGAAATGACTGATGCACTAACTGAAATAAAGAATAATTTACAGGGAATCAATAGTAGAGTAGGTGAAGCCAAGAAGTAAACCATCAATTTGGAATATAAGGAAGCAAAAAACGCCAATCAGAACAGCAAAAAGAAAAAAGAATCCGCCCTGGCCATTTTGGCTCAGCGGTTGAGCATCGGTCGGCCTGCGGGCCAGAGAGTCCTGGATTCGGTTCTTGCTAGGGGCACATATCACAAAAAAAAAAAAAAGAAAAAAGAATCCAAAAATACGAGGATAGTATAAGGAGCCTGTGGGACAACTTTAAGGGTACCAACATTCACATTATAAGAGTGCCAGAGGGAGAAGAGAGAGGGCAAGTAATTGAAAACCTATTTGAAACAATAATGACAGAAAACTTCCCTAACTTGGCGAAGGAAATAGACATACAAGTCCAGGAAGCACGGAGAGTCCCAAACAAGATGAACTCAAAGAGATCCACACCAAGACACAAGATCATCAAAATGCCAAAGGTTAAATACAAAGAGAGAATCTTAAAAACAGCAAGAGAGAAGCAGTTAGTTACTTACAATGGAGCTCCCATAAGGCTGTTAGCTGATTTCTCAAAAGAAACTTTGCAGGCCAGTAGGGAGTGGCAAGAAATATTTAAAGTGATGAAAAGCAAGGACCTACAAGTAACATTACTCTATCCTGCAAAGCTATCATTTAGAATCAATGGCCATATAAAGAGTTTCCCAGACAAGAAAAAACTAAAGGAGTTCACCACCACCAAACGAGTATTATATGAAATGGTGACAGGTCTTCTTGAAGAAGAAAATAAAAAAAAATGAACAATAAAATGGCAATAAATACATATCTATCAACAATTGAATCTACAAACAAAATGAGCAAGCCGAACAGAAACAGACTCATAGATACAAAGAACTTTTTATTGGTTGCCAGATGGGAGGGGAGAAGGGTGGAAAAGATGAAGGGACTAGGAAGTACAAATTGGCTGTTAGACTGATGAACCTCAAAGTGAAGTGGGGAGGTGGAGCGGGAAGAGAGAAACCAAAGAACTTCTATGCATATATGCATAACCAACGGACACAGACAATAGTGTGGGGAAAGCAGGAGGAGGGTGGAAGTGAAGAGGAGGGAGTCAAGGGGGGAGAAAAAGAGGGGCATCTCTAATACATTAAACAATAAAGAAAAGTTTAAATTAAAAAAAAAAAAGAAAGCAACATGAGAAAAATCATGAGGAAACATATGCTTAAATATCAAATTAGTAATGTGAACAATAAGTAACATCTGAGGAGAGATTATATCCAACTCTTTTGAAGGCAGTTTCAGCCCATGTACCTGGTATAGTTTTTACTACAGGAAATCAGATTCTTTAAATTATTGTAATTAAAAAAGCACTGGGGTGGCAGAGTCTTACTGTATTCAGCCCCTTCAGCTGGGAAAGGGGGGAAAGGCACAACCAGGTAGGAAATTTGAGTAAATTACCATTAAGTTCACTTCCTTGGGTCTACAGTTCTTCCTTGATTTAAGAACATATAAAATTTGAAATACATTGTAGTACAGTATGTGAAAAGTGATACTAATAAAGTACTGAAGTGTTGTCTAAGAAAATGTTTTCAAACTCTTAGTGAACATCTAATAACATCTAATGACTGAATACCTTGTCAAACCATACAGATGCTTATGTACTATTTCAAACATTTGGAATCAGAATCTATAAATGTGAAGTCAGGATATTTGCATTTTGAGCAGCTCCCCCAGGTGATTCTGATGTAAAGAGTGAGAATTAAGTGTTATATGATTTAAGTACACAACCTTCAGTGGCAAGGAAGCCTGGGTTCAAATGCCAGTTCTAATACTTAATACTCAAACTGTGACCACCAACTAGCCTCACTAATACTATTTCTAACCTTTAACAAAGGGGGAAATGCCACCCATCCCTCAAGTGATTTCTATTAGGATTAAAGATGATGAGGCATGTAAAATGTTTAGTACAATTCCTGGAACATTTAGTAAGCATTCAATGAATTCATTCATTTAATAAACATATATTAAGCATTTACACAGTATCAAAAGAGTAGGAACATCTCAGTAAATTATTAAGTATTAATAAATATGGCAACTCTGTAATGGTGTTATGAGTACATATAATTAAAAGAATCTATCCTAATCAGGAAAGTCTTCCTGAAGTGAGCTGAATCAGTAGGCATTAATTGGATGAAAATGAAAGGAAATGCATTTCCAAGCAGAGGAAGCTTATAACCAAAAGCCATGTACCTGAAGCAGAACAGAATGACTAGGGAAGAAAGGAATGCCAGAAAGTACTGTGAAGATGAGGTTGGAAAGGCAAGCGGGGGATCCCAAAAGGCTGTTAAAGATTTTAGTTTCTATTAAAAACAAAGAAAGCCACTGAAGGGTTTTAAGCATGGAAATAAGATTAGATATGCTTTTTTTAATGAACTATAGAAATGATACCTGAAATTATAGTCTTAGGTATGCTTTTTTTAAAATGCCACGCAGACTGATGTGGAAACCTACAAAGGGGCACAGTAAATGCAAGTAGACCATAATTAGGAGGCTAGTGATACTTCAGATGAGAGATAATGGTGTCTGGAACCAGAGTACCAGTGGCAAAGACAAAGACAGACAAGAGATATTCAGGAGGCAAAATCAACAGGACTTAGTGAGAGACTGATAATGAATCATAAGACAGAGAAAGCAGTCACACTTCTACTCCTATAGAAAAAGACAGATGATGAAGCCAGTCACTTGCACAATAAGAGGACCTATTTTTCTCGGAGGGTAAGTCATAAATTTCAAACATGCGAGCATGGGTAGTTATTCCCAATTACAGGGTTGATTTGCACAGAAATATTTTGTTGCATGGAAGTACAATATGCCTGTATTTATTTTATTGGTTGTTCATGGATCTTAGAGACAAAAGAATAGGTTTCTGCAGGTGTGTAAAGTGGATCAGAACAAAGGTTCTTACCTCCCATTAAGTTCTCCTTTCTTTTACACAATCCCCCAAAAGCATCTTTTATGAGTACAGTTTAATACTAACAAAAATTCTACCTATACTCAGCTGATAATTTTTTAACTTTTAAAAAAATTAATATTTATACTAAAGAATAAGACAGGAAGACAAACAAAGAGAGCCTGCGAGTTCAAAAAGGATCTAGCTACAAGCACCTGACTTTTACATCATTACCACAGCAAGATGGGGTTTTACAGTGACAGGCTGTACTATGGTAATTTTCCAGAATGGAGAGGCATGTGAATGTCTTCGAGAAAACTTCTTATTTATAGAATCCAATTTGTAAAACAAATCATCATACAGATAATTCCTGAGTTTGATCCACAAAAATATAGCTTGCAACTAAAAAAAAAAAAAAAAAAAAAAGCTTGCAATTTACAACTGTAAGTCACTACTGACATAGCATAGTGCCTTTAGTCGCTAGAGTCTGGAGACTCAAGAAGACTGTTCTAGGAGCCCACCTGACAAAATTGGGCTCCCTAATTACTAATCATAGGTATGTATCCAGTCGGAACCCAGTAAGTTTTTGCAACCTTTTTTGGTCTAAACCTTCCTCCATCCTTTCTCTCCCGCTTAGAAAATCAATAGTGCAGAAGCCACCGACGGGGTTTTTAGCCTTAAGAAAACACCTGCCCCACCCACCTCAAACACAATAACCTTCCGTTCCAGAACCACAGCCACTGTCAGAAAAGGACGCAGGGAGGTAGGGCCCAGATTGGTAACCCGGGTTATCAGAGACGGACCTCCGAACTGAGCGGAGCTGTCTCACCCAGTCCCAGAGGAGTGTCCAATTTCCCAAAAGGGAACCAAGAGCCCCGCCACGGAAACCCGAGCTCCCGAGCCGGAGCGGGGTCTCTCCCTGCGACAGGCGGCTCCGGCCCCGGTCTCCCGGCACTTCAAGGCCCTGTCCGGGACTCGGGCCTCTCGGATCCGCTCCCTGAGCTCGGCTGCGCGCGGGCGCCCACCGCCCCGCCAGCCCGGCCCTCGGCCCGCTTGCCCGTCACCTAGCAACAGTCGCCAGCCCCGGGGGTCCTGGGCGGCCTAGCCCCGGCGCGGCTCCTTCCCCACTCCCTCCTCGCGGGCCTAGGGAGCCCCGGCGGAGCGCGGCCAGCGGGGACGGTCACTCACCTCTTCCCCTCTCCTCCCGGGAGGGGCGGTGCTGGGGCTCGTTTCCCCCGCCCTGCCAAACGCCTCCGGGTTGCTCCAGCTCCGCTTCAGCGTCCGGCCGAAGCTGCCAGTTTACTCCATAGCCTCCTCCACCCGCGCGGCCTCACAGGCTAGAGCCGGAGGAGGGAAAGGGGAGGGGTGGGGAGGGACTGGGGAGGAAGAGTAAGGGACTGGGAAGAAGACCGAAAGACCGGCCGGCCAGGGCATTACGTCACTTCCTGCTGGTCCGGAAGAGGCGGGACCAGGGCTACCTTGGCCTCCGCCCCCCGAGGATCAGGTGGGGGCGGGGTTACGGGCCGGAGGAGGGGCCGGCGTGCGAGTTGATGGCGGTTCTTTTGACTCCGCGGTTTCGCAGACTTGGCAGCCCGAGCGAGCATCCCGGCCCAGGACAGAGCGGATCGAGTTTCGTGAGCCGTGGAAGTGGCTTATGCAGGAAAAGGAGGACAGGTAGCCCTATAGATCCTAACTAAATGTGTGCTGAAGGGGAGGGCCGCTGAGGGTCGGGTAGTTCCGCCTGTGCGCCCCAGGCTTCTGGGGTCCGCCCCTTTCCTGGCCCCGCCTCGTCCCTGGCGCACCTGCCTTCCCCGGTCCTGGACTAAGCACCCTGACTTGGGCTTTAACGAACTACTCTCCCGGGGAAGTCCAGGAAAGTATTGCTTCTCAAACTTGAATATGGACACGAGTCATTTGGGGATTTTGTTAAAATGCAATTTATGGATTCAAGAGTAGTCTGATATTCTGCGTTTCTCCTAAGTGCCCAGACGATGCCAATGCTGTTGGTAGACAGGCTACACTTAGAACTAAAAGAGGTTGAAGTACTAGATGGCAAGTGCCTTGAGCACGAGGACTATGCCTTCTAGCCTACTTATTTAATAAAGGTTAAAGGCAAATGGTCCATGGAAAATACCCTTGTCTCCACCACTCAGATTTCTACCCCTCACCCCACCGCAATCCTGCGCCGTGCCTACCCCATCCATTACTCCCCGATTCTCTTACCTTTTACCACCTTTCCACTGCTCACCTTCCACAGGCCACTGCTTTCTCCGCACTGTCTGGAGCGTCTTGGGCTAGTATTTAAGGGATAGACAGATCAACACCGTCTGTTACTAAAGGCATTTGAAGGTAGTGGGTTTTTATTTCTGTCATTTTGTCGTAAACATCAGACTGTTATGTAAAACTGGGCATCTACTTTCAGTTATCAATAGTCAAAGGAGGAGAGAACTTAAATTATTGAATTTTAACAACAACAACAAAAATCTAGAAACAACATTCTGGATGTTTCAAGTTATTCCTTTATCATTCTTAGCATTTTTTATTTTAAAAAATTACTGGGGTAGAGGGAAATAAGGAGTGACTGCTAAATGCAGGGGTTTCTTTTTGACGTAATGAAATGGTCTGCAGTTATAATAGTGATGGTTGTACAATTTGTGACTGCACTAAAAAACATGGAATTGGCCCTGGCCTGTTTTGCTCAGTGGTTAGAGCATTAGCCAGCGGACCAGAGAGTCTTGGGTTCGGTTCCCGCTAAGGGAACATACCTCGGTGGCAGTTTGTCCCTGGCCCTGGTTGGGATCATGTGGGTGGCAACCACTCGATGTGTCTCTCTCACATCGATGTTTCTCTCTCTCTCTCTCTCTCCCTCTTCCTTCCTCTCTCTCTAAAATCAATATAGGAAAAAAAAATTTAAATTAAATAAATAAACATGGAATTGTACATTTTTAAAGGGTGAATTTTGTGCTATGTCATTTATATCTCAATAAAAATTTTACTGTCTCCAGTTGAAAAGTTTACACATGTACGTTATAAAAATTTGGAAATATATAGAATAAAAACCGAACATCTTTCATTACAATCCTACTTCCCAAAGGTTAGTAGTTTGAAGATTATCCTTCCAGGCCTCTCTTTCTATTTATTTGCATATATTTGTATGTATTTTGGGAATTTATTTTTACATAACTAGGATGATAGTATACAAATTGTTCTGCTCAACTCGTTGGGTTTTTGTTTTTGTTTTGTTTTTCCTATTTAATGATATCCTTGCATGCTATAAACCTCATTCTTCCTAATGGCTGCTTAATATTCCATAGTAAAGCTATGCCATAATTTATTTAACGAGTCCTCAGTTGATGGACATTTCTATTGTTTTCATTATTATTCACAAACTTTTTAAAAATATGTTTTTATTGATTTCAGAAAGAGGAAGAAAGAGAGAGAGAGAGAGAGACAGAAACACCTATGGGCTGCCTCCTCCATACCCCCTACTGGAGATGGAGCCCACAACCTGAGCATGTGCCCTGACCTGGAATCGAACCAGCGACCTCCTAGTACATGGAGCCACGCTCAACCAACTGAGCCACACCAGCCGGGCACAAACTTTTTTTTCAACAAGAATAGCTGGCAGGGCCAGTGTGGCTCCGTTGGTTGAATACCAACCCAGGCAACAGAAGGTTGCTGGTTTGATTCCCAGTCTAGGTTTGGGGCTCAGTCCCCAGTAGGGAGTATGCAGGAGGCAGCCAATAAATGTTTCTGTCTCTCTCTTCCCTCTCTCCTCCTCTCTGAAATTAATATTATATAAAAGCTGGCAGATAAGTAGATTAGATATATTGAGCTCCTTGCCCTAAATTTCTCTCATGAAGAGTTTGTGCCATAGGTCAAAAATAGAAAAAGAAGACAGAAAAATATAAAACCCTAGTAAAGCCACAGTTCTGTAATAAAACTCCAGTGTGTGCATTCCTTTTGAATGTGTCCTGAAATAATATTCTTCAAGATTAAGTACAGTACCTAGAAGTTAATAATGGAGCGTTAAGGGTATATAAATTCACATAATAATATATTTCATATCAGTAAAGTAAGTTCCTAGGTTTACTCTGTTTTTATTGGCAGACAAACAAAGTGCAATCTTAGTAACTATATTATGGTTTACATAAGATGGGAGAAGTAGAAACTTAATAAAGACAATGGCAGCAGATATGCCATTAAAAAAGCATAAGGTTGCCCTGGCTGGGTGGTTTGGTTGTTGGAGTATCCTCCTATACACCAAAAGGTTGTAGGTTTGATTCCTGGTCAGGGCACATAGCTAGGTTGTGGGTTCGATTCCCAGTCAGGGCGCATACGGAAGGCAACCAATGTTTCTCACATCGATGTTTCTCTCTCCCCCTTCCTCTCTCTCTAAAATCAATAAAATCATATCCTCAGGTGAAGATTCTTTTTAAAAAGCATAAGGTTGAAAAATGGAAAAACTTAAATATTTTTGTGTACTCTAAGTATATGTGGGTTTTTTGTTTTTTAGAATGTTCTGGTCCTTTTCAAGCTACTCAGCTATGGGATGGCATTATTCACTCCCTTCAGACTCAAGTGGAAATAAAAAGAAGGAGGCATCATTTACGAACATACAAAGACTGTTTTACTGGTTCTGATGCTGTTGATGTCGTATTAAGTCATCTTATGCAAAATATGTGCCTAAGTAGTAATGATATCTCTCGTCTTAAAGGAGTTCGTCTTTGCCAAGTTCTAATGAACCATAAGGTATTTCAACCGGTAGGGGTGAAGCTATTCAAAAATGAAAAGGAATTGGAATTTGAAGATTCAAACAATAGTCTCTACAGGTTTCTAGGCAATGAATCATCTTACGTGTTTTGCGAAAGAAAAATGGATACTGAGAATGGGTTAACAGATAAAATAAATGCGAAGGAATCTTTAAGGTTAGTGTTCATCGAGATATGTAATGTATTTAGATTCTGGCAGAACAGTTGTCATTGAGCTAAACTTGAATGTTACGCTTTCAGGTTTTTTTCAGAAGTCAATAAAAGAAATAGCCATGTAAAAATCAATTCATTTCATCATTTGCTCTAAACACAAATTTTTCAGAATGTATAGCAAGAAAAACTTTATATCCTATGATGAATTGTATGCTTCCTAATTTTGAAAAATTACTTACCCAGAGTGCAAAAAGGCAAAGTTTTCTGGAAACTCAGAGCAAAATTTTTCCATCATAGCAACAATGTTCATCTTATAGTTAGCATATATTCTTTCTCTTTATTTACATTCCTAATCTGTCCTCTTTTGGTGATATTCTCTTATCTAATAATTTTATTACTTGTGTGTTTTATTATAAGCTACCTGAGATCATTTTTGGAAATAGGGAATATATGAGTAAGTTTAATAAATTAAAATGTATTTTTGAAAATCTGATCCTGTATATAATAGAAAAATTTCTTAACAGACCAGAAGATGAAATGATTTCAAATCCTCTAGCACAAGAGATTGGTGAGGAAAGAATTAAGGAATTAATTCACACAATGAGTGGGAATCTGGCTTTTCCTCCAAATATCACAGTTGACAAACCTGTTCGCCCACTTTCAAAAGAAGGTAATCTGTTTTCATTATTTTTTTCAAAACCTTGTAAGAAAGAACTGACTTTAAAAAATAGACTTTAGCCCTGGCCGATTTGGCTCAGCAGATGGAGTGTCGGCCTTGCAAGTTCAATTCTGGCCAAGGGCATGTACCTCAGTTGCAGTTCCTCCTGGCCCTGGTCCGGGTCCTGTGGGAGGCAGGCAACCAACTGATGTGTCCTGTTCACAACGATGTTTCTCTCTCTCTCTCCCCCTCCCACTCTGTCTGAGGATAAATGGAAAAGTATCCTTGGGTGAGAATTGAAAAAAAAAAAAAAGACTTGCCCTGGCCAGTTTGGCTCAGCAGTTCGAACATCAGCCTGAAGACCAATGAGTCTCGGGTTCATTTCCAGTCAAGGGCATGTACTTTGGTTGCAGTTCGTCCCTGGCCCTGGTTGGGTCATGCGGGAGGCAACCAATCTATGTGGCTCTATCACATCTATGTTTTTCTCTGTTTCTCTCTCTCTCCCTCCCTCCCACTCTATCTGATGATAAATAGAAAAATATCCTCGGGTGAGGAATATTAAAAAAAAATAGACTTTATTTCTTAGAACAGTTTTAGGTTCACAGAAAAACTCAGCAGAATGTATAGAGAGTTCCTATACACCCCTGCCACATACGCACACAGCCTTCCTCGCTGTCAGTATCCTGCACCAGCATGGTATATTTGTTACAATCCATGAACCTATAGTGATACATCATTATCACTGGAAGCCCATAGTTTACATTAATGTTCACTCTTGGTGGTGTGAATTCTAGGGGTTTTGACAAATGTATAATGACATGTAGCTACCATTATAGTATCAAAAAGAATAGTTTCACTGCCCTAAAAATTCAAGTAGCTTCACCTATTCATTCCTCTCTTCCCCCTAACCCCTGGCAACCACAGATCTTTTTACTGCCTCCAAGAACTGACTTTTCAGATACAATAAAAGTAGTGTGTTTGGTATTGATTCACGATTCTCTTCCCTGTAAGAGTTTCCTTCTACATATCAATTGCATCAGACAAGACAGGTAAGGCAACTTAGATCCAATAAAATTTAGTTTATTTTTTGCAACAACCATGATCAGATTAACTCAAGGTGCTGTCGTCTGAACTACCAGAAGAAAATATGCAGACTCCTTAGCAGTCCTTATTATTTATAACCCAACACCATCTTCTAATGAAGGTATCCTCTGTCCACTGTATAAACCTCTCCCAAACATCTCCCACCCATTTCATATGTGGCTGTCTTTGCCTCCTTACTTAGGAGGTGGCTACTGAAGGCCCACTAATTTTTATGTATTTTTATAGCACCTGGTTCAGTGCTGTGCCCAAAGGTTGGTATTGACAAATGTGGATTGATTGGTCAGAGGCAGGCTATTTATGACCTCAAGTCTTTACTAAAAGATTTTTAATTGGATTTCTTTTTGGCCAATAGCTCACAGGTAGCAAACTCAGATTACTTTAGGAGCCAGGCAGACCAGAGAGCCAGTGAGTACTTAATTATCAGACATATAGGAAGAATAGTACTGTTGTTTTTGCTTGAAATATATGGCCTTCTCAGGCTATTTTTCCTTTTCCCATTTAACACAGAGATATAAGTACAGGGAAACTGATGTTTCCTGTAGCAAAACCAACAGGACAATACCATGAAAATGGTAGCTGACACTCAACTTCACTGGGATACAACGTGGGGGCTGAGGGGTTGGTAAACTGGAAATGTCATGCAGATGGAAATGGGGTGCCCATTGATTCATAGCAGTTGAGTTTGGTCAGGCATTAACTCAAGCCCAGTGAGATTTTATTTTTTTTTAAGAGAAACTTGGAACCAGAATTTTACATGAAACCTCCCATTTTTATACAAGTTAATTTTATTCAAAATGCTAACCAAAAAAATCATGGTTATCGTTCAGATTTAATACATACACTACTGGCTTGGGAGTTTTGCAAGAGATTTACTCTAGCTGTTGCTTTTATGATTTTGTCTTATTTAGAGGAAAAACAGAGCATTAATTATGATCTGATGATTATGATAATGAAAAATGTAACTCTTAACAGGAATGATCAGAAACCACTCTATCTGATGATAAATAGAAAAGTATCCTCAAGTGAGGAGTAAAAAACAAAACAAACTAAAGGTCAATTTTTTTTTTTTTTTTTTTTTAATCCTCACCCGAGGACATTTTTTTTCGATATTTTGTTCAGATAGAGTGGGAGGAAGAGAGAGAGAGAGAGAAACATCGATGTGAAAGCGACACATCGAGTGGTTGCCACCCACACGACCCAACCAGGGCCGGGGACAAACTGCAACCGAGGTACGTGCCCTTAGCAGGAACCGAACCCGGGTCTCTCCGGACCGCAGGTCGACGCTCTAACCGCTGAGCCAAACCGGCCAGGGCTAAAGGTCAATTTTGAGCATAAACATTGTAATTTAGAAAATTTCAATTATTCTAGCAATAAATCAACCCATTATATATATTAAAGTAGCTTTTATTTTGTGTTATTTAGAAATGGAAAATTTTATAATATTGGTTGAATATATCTTATTTCTCAATTTGATAGTTACATTATTTTTCTTTCTAAGCTATAGAAGATGTTTGGAAACAACAAACATTGTTACGTATTCTTCAATTGATTCACCTTCCGTTTTTGGAAAATATTTTGGAACCACCAGTTAAAACACAAAATCTTCACTTAAGTAAAGAGGAAGATCTTGTTATTTCAAATACTTGTCTAGACAGAGAGGTTATTCCAAGCTTCTGTGTACCTGAGTAAGTGACCATTTTTATTGTCAATTTATAACTTAAAAGATCTTTCACATATTTCACTTTTGGTATTTTAAGAGGTGAGAACATATCCATATGTATAAGCTAACTCTATCTGTTTTATAAATTAATCAGTGTGAATTCTCATTTGATCTAACAAAGAAAGTCACTGGTTATGACCTTCGAGAAGATCTGGAAATCGGAGTGGTTTCATTCATATGAATTCAGTCATGATTTGACAATCATCTTCTCCCTGCACCAGCCCTGAATATTTTCCAAAGTTCTATCATTTCCATTTTATGATCCTAACATAACATTAAGTATCAGTTTCTACCAGTTTATTTATTCCTGTCCTAAGAATCCACAGTCTACTAGGGGAGACATTCATGAAACAGAACAGTATAGTCCAAGAAGATAAGCTTTATCATAAAATCAACCTTATTTGTGGGGAAGAGGTCCAGGGAACCTTATAATCTGAATGATGCTCCATTCTCTTTTCTCTGAACTCTAAGATATTTGTCACTCCTTCTAGGAACTATTGATATAAGACTGTGGATATTAGTAGGGATTCCAACAGAGAAAACTGATGTGATACTTTCTCCCATGTGAGCCAAATAGGAAAAGAACAGCAGACACTAAGGCTGAGGACCACAAAGTGTCAGGTCCTGAGAAGTGCTTGGTGATAAGCGGCCTGTGGACCCACTTGGTCAACTGTGGTCTTGTTGTCCTAATTCACAATAGGCCAAGAAAGGCCCAAACAAAGAGCTGGGTCTTCCCCAGCCCTTGAGTCAGGTAGAGTATAGGGGCGCCAGCAAAGAAACAGGATTTCTCTGGATACCTCTGCAGGAAACAACAGCCAGTCTGCCTTTATAAGCTTCTAGGCAGAAAGGATAGGTTGTCAGCAAGAGAAAAGCAATCCAGTTGTCGTTAATCTTTTCATTTGCAACACTGGGATATAGAAGATAATGACTCACATATTAGGGAAGATATACCATTTACCATTGGGGTGGGGGGGAATGGAAGGATAAAGGGAGGAGGGATGAAGGAAAGATTCTTGAGGATTATCAAGAATTCATAGAGTATATCACTCAGGAACCTCATCCAAAGAGAATAGCCAGAACCCCAAGATGGAGAAGATGAAGGAGAGGAGAGGAAACATTGTTACGTAATAGATTTTGATCTGTGCTCTCTTACTGTCTTCTCTCATTTTGTACACATGCATACATACACACACATTAATTCCAAGTTGATATGTAAGACTGTGTGAGAATGTATAAATATAAGCAGTAAATAAGAAGTCAAAACAGAAGGGACATACTGTTAAGGGAAATTATAATAAATACTAACCTATCACAGCGAAACCTGGGGGTTGGGAAAGTGGCAGAAGAGCAGAAGGGAATTAAAGGCATCACTGTAGGAAGGGAGGAGTGAAAGGATCCTAAGTTTCTTAACTTTACAGTGGAAAGAGAAGAAAGGGAAGACAGTGTGTGGTAGCATAAACAGTGCACCTAATTATTGTAGGGGGGAAAGAGGGAAACTAATGAAATGGAGCAGTACAGATGGACTCCTCTGAACAAAATCTTACAAAAATAGAAGTAAATTTTTAAAAAGGCAGCCAAGCCCGGCTGGTGTGGCTCAGTGGTTGAACATCAACCAATGTACTAAGAGGTCACCAGTTTGGTTCCTGGTCAGGGCACATGCCCAGATTGTGGGCTGGATCCCCAGTACAGGGCATGCAGGAGACGGCCAATCGATGTTCTCTCTAATCATTGTTTCTATCTCTCTCTCCCTCTCCCTTCCTCTCTCTCTAAAGTCAATAAAGGGGGGGGGAAAGGCTGCCAAAAATATTTCAACTACTTGAAAATAAAGGTATAGAAAGGTGTGATGGTATTTGGTGAGGAAAAAAAGCTATTCCCTCTTAATCACGCCTTCATTTATTCTGCAGAATTTATTGAAATGATTTTCTGAAAAAGAGTTTCTTCCTTAGATTTGGTTAAATATAAGGTAAATTTGATTATGTTTTTACCAAATAGTGTTTTAACTAGTTCAGTGAAAATGTTAACCATTGATTTATTTTGTTTTGTATTTTTCCTCCAGGATAGATAACTGGCTTAATGCAGCAATGGAATGCTTGGAATATTTCCCTGACCAGTTCATAGTTTCAGTTAGTCAGCAGTTAGTGCAAAGCAGAAATGAAGAGACAAGACTGAGTATACAGAAGAAGATACTCTTTGATGTTATAGTAAAATATTATAATCAAGAGAGAGATTGCCTGTTAACTGATGACTATTTTGATATTCATTCAGGAATTATTGAACTTTTAGGTAAGAGGTGATATTTAAACTTTAATTTTTGCATAATAAACTATTTTTAAAGATACAACTTGAAGAAAATATTATATATTGTATGAGTATAACATTTTAATATTTTTCTTCTATGGTGTCAAGGTACTGCATGGAGTATTTTTTCACTTCACTAATGTTGCTTGCCATGTAAACTGTACTATCAAATAAAACGATTGTACTACAGAACATTAGATCTAAAATAATTATGTCACAGGGACATTCTAAGAAACTTATATATTTTATTTTATCCTCACCCGAGGACATTTTTGCATTTTTATATTCAGATAGAGCAGGAAGGAGAGAGGGAGGAAGAGAGAGAGAGAAACATCAATGTGAGAGAGAGACACATTGACTGGCTGCCATCCGTACGACCACAACCAGGGCTGGGGACAAATTGCAACCGAGGTATGTGCCCTTAACAGGAACTGAACCTGGGACTCTCTGGTCCACGGGCCGATGCTCTAACTGCTGAGCCAAACTGGCTAAGGCCTAAGAAACATATTTTGATATAGTACAGAATTACAGAACTGAGGTATTTGGTCACCTTTTAGCAAAATAAAAATTGATTGACATAATATCGTCACTTTTTTAGCTATGTAGGTGGCCATATAATTCCATGTTAAAAACAAAAATGCTGTCCAGCTGGTGTGGCTCAGTGGACTGAGTGTCATCCCATGGACTGAAAGGTCCCGGTTGGATTCCCAGTCAGGGCACATATTCAAGTTGCAGGCTTGATCCCCAGCGTGGGGGCGTGCAGGAGACAGCTGATCAATGTATCTCTCTCACATCGATGTTTCTCTCTCTCCCTTCCTTTCTCTCTAAAAAATCAATAAAAATGTATATTAAAAAATAAAGAAAACCAGCCCAGCCCATGCAGTTCAGTGGTTGAGCGTCCACCCATGCACTGAGAGGTCCCGGTTGGATTCCTGGTCAGAGCACATGCCCTGGTTGTGGGCACAATCCCCAGTGGGGGGTGTGCAGGAGGTGGCCAGTCAATGCTCTCTCATCAATGTTTCTCTCTCTCTCTCTCTCTCTCTCTCAAATCAATAAAGAAAAAAAAATTTATATACTATTTGATTATGCTGGATGTACTAATTACATGGGTATTTGCCATATTATATAGAATTATATAGATAATTTCTTGTGTGTTTGAAATATTTCATAAACTCTTTTACATGATAAAAAAAAGAATCCACAGCCCTGGCCGGTTTGGCTCAGCGGTTAGAGCGTCGACCTGCGGTCCTGAGAGACCCGGGTTCGGTTCCCGCTAAGGGCACGTACCTCGGTTGCAGTTTGTCCCCGGCCCTGGTCGGTCGTGCGGGTGGCAGCCACTCGATGTGATCCTTTCACATCGATGTTTCTCTCTCTCTCTGTTCCTCTCTCTCCCTCCCACTCTATCTGAACAAAAAATGGAAAAATGTCCTCGGGTGAGGATAAAAAAAAAATAAGGATGCTCAAGGAATTTAATGAGAACATCAACAACATGAAAAAGGACCAGTCAGAAATGAAGGCTTCATTAACAGAAATAAAGAATAATTTAAAAAAAAAAAAAAAAGAATCCACAAACCAAATACAGCATGAGAGCATTTTAACTTACTACTAAGTACTGTAATCTCCATTTCTGTCCTATGCTCTGTCTTCTTTGTAACCCACGTAACAGAAAACGAGAGAAGAGCAGAAGCACTGGAAGCAACACAGCTGTATCTGAGATTGCTGCTGCCCAACATTAGAGAAGAGTTACGGCGGCTCCTTACTTTTATGGCTATTGCATCAGAACCTAATGCCTACAAGTTACAAAAACAGGTAAAAAAAAATAAATTACAACAGTTTCACAATTTTCTGCTATTATTTTTTTTCTTTTCAAAACTGTTCACACAGACAACAGTGTGGTGATGGCAGGGAGGAGGGGTTTGGAGAGGAGGGTATGGGGGGATAAATGGTGATGGAAGGAGACGTGACTTGGAGTGGGGAACACACAGTACAGTGTACAGATGATGTGTTGTGGAACCGTGCACCTGAAACCTGTATAACTTTGTTAACCGGTGTCATCCCAATAAATTCAATAAAAAGGGGAAAAAAACTGTTCAAGCTAATGCAGTCTTTCTGTTTACAGTATGATAACAAAACGGTTGTCCTGAAAACTCTTGGCAAAGCAGTTTTGCAAACCAAATCATTATCAAAAGTACGGGCAGAACAACTCATGTGGTTTCTACTGGAATATCACTCTGAGCTCTTCAAGGTATCTCTGGCATTTTGCCTGGGCACATTTATTACTAAGCTATTTCTGTTAAGCAAAAGGCAAATAATTCACTTAATAAATAATTTATTGAGTACCTGTAGTGTGCAAAGTTTGAAGGAATGCTCTCTTCCCCTACCCACTAAAGTGAAGGAAGCAGACTTAATGTCAGTATTTGAAAATATATTAATTTTGCCTGGCTGTCCCAGTTTTACGACTTTTGAATGAAATATATTCTGAAAACTCATTTGTAAGTCAGTTGTTAGATATTCTATACAGTTTTTTATTAAAAAAACAACAAAAAAAAACATAATAAATGGAGGTTAGGGAGCCCAGGCTACACAAATGTTTAATTCTAGTCACTAAACCAAAACTCATGTATATAGTTGTAAAGTGGGCCCTAGATTTCACCTCGGAATTTAGAAAGAACATTTCCTCTCTCCTCTTCCTTACCACTTAGCCTCTCCACTTTCTTCTTTCTCAGCCTGCCTCCTGCTCTGGGTAAGTGACTTCGCCTCTTCCTGTGTATAGCCAAGATATCAGAAAAGAATTTTTAATTTCTTTTCCTCCTCTTCATGTCAGAGCTAGCCTTCATAAGGAAACATGCGGGCCACGAAGGGAGAAAAGTGCCGAGACGTGGGCTGGGGGAAGTGGGGAGTGTGGGTTCCAGGAAGCTGGAGAAGCACTCTCATGACTGGTTTCTGGAGATTAGGGCATGAGGTATTTCAGGGAGGCTGAGATGGGGGTATTTATGATAAAGGCTCTCAAACATGCCACGTGTTTTCCTGTTACAGGGCTTTTTCGGTGTTGTCTGCTGTTTTCTCTATGCTGTCTGGATGTGTTTCTCCCAAATCTTCTGGCTCACTCCTCCACACCTGTTCAGGCCTCTGCTTGCACGGTTCCTCTCTCTGACGGGAGCCCTTCCAGACTAGGATGGCTACCCATCCTCTTTGTTCTAGCCTATTGCCCTGCTTTATGCTTGCTTTTTTTTTTTTAATCCTCACTTGGGGATATTTCTCCATTAATTTTTAGATAGAGTGGGAGGGAAACAGAGAAACATTGATGTGAGAGAGACACATCGATTTGTTGCCTCCCCCACTACCCCAACCAGGGCCGGGAGTTGAACCTGCAACCAGAGTACGTGCCCTTGACTAGGATTCAAACCCGAGACACTTTGGTCCGAGGGCCAACGCTCTAACAGCTGAGCCAAACTGAATAGGGCTGCTTTAAAGCTTTCTTAATGGAACCATCACTATTTGAAATTATATTATGTATTTGCTGATTTTTTTTTTTAATCCTCACCCACGGATATTTTTCCACTTATCCTCAGATAGAGTTGGAGGGAGGGAGAGAGAGAGCATGAGAGAAACATCGATATGACAGAGACACATCGATTGGCTACCTCCCACATCACCTGGACCAGGGCCAGGACCGAACCACAAGTGAGACATGCCCTTGACCAGAATTGAACTCGCCACTCTTTGGTCCATGGGCTGTTGCTCCAATTGCTGAGCCAAACCAGCCAGGGCTTTGCTGATTTTTTTATATTGTCTTTCTCTTCTATGAGAATGTAATTTGCAAGAGTTCAGAAACTTGATCTGTTTATCACCTAGAACAGTGTCTAGAACATAGCAGTCACTCACTCAATTTTTATTGAATAACAATGAATTAATGGAGACAGCTTCATGACTTGAAATTAGCAACAGTATAGAAGCTAATGTAAAGGTAGCCTGGGGTCCAGGATGAAGGAGCTATGTAAACATGAAGTTCAGTGTTGGTAGATGTAGGGAGTGTCCTCTAACAAAATTAGCTGAGGCATCATTTCCCCTAGATATATGTTGTAATCTGGCACTACCTTTGTGTAACCAAAGCTGTGTAATCAAAGAAAATGAGCCCGGCTGGTGTAGCTCAGTGACTGAGCATCAATCCATGTACCAAGAGGTCGCCAGTTCGATTCCTGGTCAAGGAATATGCCCAGGTTGTGGGCCCAACCCCCAGTGCAGGGCATGCAGGAGGCAGCCAATCGATGTTCTCTCTCATCAGTGTTTCTATCTCTCTCTCCCTCTCCCTTCCTCTCTCTCTAAAAATCAATAAAAGAAAATGATGTTTTCATGTATTTTGGAGTACTATTTGCATAATGACCATGTAATTACAATGTAAGATTATTTAGATCAGTGCTATTACAGAACCACAAATAATTTTTTATAGGAGAACATTACATTAATGGCTGCTCAACTGAATTTCAGCTGTAGTTCACACATGAAAGTAGAAACCAGAACTGTAAGAATTCTAAAAAAAAATTCAAGAATTCATACCTTTTATAATTCAGAGGTCTTCTGCTACCCACCCCTTCTCTTCAGCTGGAATTATCTTCCCCTACTCATTGGTCAAAATTTTTTTTTTTTCTATGTTGGGTTTCAGGCTAGAAAAAAAATCATATATTTGAAAATACCTGTTTTTATATAGACACCAGTTACTTTACTGGACCTGGTTAGTAAGAAGCTGAAGAAGCTGCTACATGGAGAAGATCCAGATGCCGTATCAGGTATTAATCCAGACTTGTTCCTTTTTTATCGCTGACTGCTATAGCCAAGTAAGTTGGATGGGAGCCAAGGGTGAGGATGTAATAAATATATCAAGTCATACAAGGCAGTTACATTGAGGCTGTTTTTTAATATCTCCAGCGCAAGCTCTTTAGCTCTTTTCGGTAGCTGTTTGTTTGATCACCGTTCTTCTAAAAAGGTGAACACTTTCTTTCTCTCGTTGCTGCTCCCAGGTCTCACCTCCCTCAGTCATGCTTCTGTGCTCCTGCACCCTCTGCTGTCTCCTTTTCTGACGCTCTCGGAGTCTCCCTGTGTTTCTCATTCTCTCTCCCCTTCCCTTCTCCCTTTTAGGAGTGACCTAGTTTTACAGAGGAGGAGCCTGACCCACAATTAAATAGACTCCATGAATTTTTCCACTCAGTGCCTTGTGCCAATTGATCTGATTCCTTAATTTAGGAATCCTTTACACTATAAAATAGTTTCAATACAAACTTCCTAAGAGTGTCATGTGAGAGACAAAATAGCATAATTGACACAACTGTGGGGGCCAGGGCCAAATTGCCTGGGCAAGTCATTTAACCTCTTAATGCCTCCGCTTCCTCCCCTACAGACTGGGAATAATAGCAACTACTTCAAAGGGTAATTGTTAAATATTTAACATTAATATCAATAATACATTATAAATATTACAAATATTTAAGTTATATTATTTAAATATTAAATACTATTGTTTAATATTAGTTGACAATAATATTGAGCCCTATGTGTGAGACACAGTGCTGAGCACTAACCTGGATTTATGAAATTATTTATTCTATACAATAATCTATGTAGGTATTATTATCCCATTTTATATTAAGGTAACTGAAGCTTAGGGAGGTTAAGTAACTCGGCCAACTAGAAAAGTAGGTAACTTTTTTTTGTTGTTATAAAAGGTTTCTAAGCCATTACTAATTTGTAGAAAAACATTCATTAAGAGTAGGGCATACATTTATTTGCCTGCAATACTTGGAATTTCTCAACTAATATATGCTATTTTCTCTCATACCCTTCATTGAACACAGGGCATATGGCAACAGATATGTTACCACATGCATTCTGTTTGTTTGATGCAGTGAAACAATGATGCTAAGTATTCTGAGCCCAATATCAGGAATCTTTTTTTTTTTTAATCTTCAGTGGAGAATTTTATTTTATTTCTATTTATCATCAGATAGAGTGGGAGAGAGAGAGAAACACCAACGTGAGAGGGACACATCAACTGGTTGCCTCCTACACAGCCCTTACTAGGGCCGGGGATGAACCGCAACCGAGGTACGTGCCATTGGCCAGAATCAAACCCAAGACTCATTGGTCTGCAGGTCGACACTCTACCACTGAGCCAAACCGGCTTGGGCAATATCAGGAATCTTTTCAGATTAATTTGATATTGTCTGACTAACTTAAAAGAAAAACTTTATTTGGCTGCCATTACTATATTAGCTTTTCACCTTCAGTTCTTTATTACTTTTGGTTTTGAGGAAAATGGAAGGATTGTAGGCATTTTAATATTTATTTCCATTCAACATTCTTTCAACAATATGCTTTAAAGGGAGATAATAACATAAGCGTTTTGCATAGTGCTTATAGGACATGAAAAGTGAAGAATTATCTGATGTTTTTTCCTAACTAGCTTAACTATTTTGTCTCTTCTTGAAGTTTTTCCTTTATTCAGTAAAATTATCACACTATATCAATATACAACTTAATGAATTTTTTTTTAACCCTCACCCAAGGATATTTTTCTATTTATCTTAAGATAGAGTAGGAGGGAGAGAAAGGGAGAGAGAGAGAAACATCAGCGTGAGAGGGACACATCAACTGGTTGCCTCCCGCATGAATCCAACCAGGGCCAGGGACAAACCGCAACCAAGGTACATGCCCTTGGCCGGAATCGAACCTGTGACTCATTGGTCCACAGACCGACACTCTACTGTTGAGCCAAATCAGCCAGGGCCCTAATGAATTTTTTTTAAAAGCATCTGTATGCTTTGTGATGTATGCTCTTTTCCCCATACTTGAATTGTTATCAAATAATTGATTTCTTGAAATTCATCTGTTGATGTAAAATGCTCCTGATATCATATATTCATCAATTCAGTGATTCATCAAACATTTTTTGAATATGTAATATGTGTCAGACTTTGTATAAGCACTAAAAAAATACTAAGATGTGTAAGATAACACCTCTGTTTACAATTCGCTCATGTTCCATTGTTTGATGTGACTGGCACATAGATGTGTAACAGATATTTTTTCAATAAGTTCAGTCAGTGAAAGAATTGATGTAATAGAGAGATAACCATTATAAAGCAATCAGAATAAAATATAATAGGGATATGTTCAAGCCGGGGGAGGTGATGGAAGACTGGAGGAGAATTACCTGATCTCATTTGAGGGGATCAGGCTAGGCTTGTGGAAGCAAAAATGCCTAGTAGGCGTCTTAAAGAATTCATAAATGTTAGCTAAACCAAAAATGTAGTGAAGGGAAGGATATTCTGGACAGAAGGAACATTGTGAGCAAATATAAGTGCTAGAAACTGCAGCCCGGGGGGTGCCAGGAATTGAAACTAGAGAAACAGATCGATGTCAGATCATGAAGGGCCATATTTAGCATCCAAGGAATTCACTAGGCAGTTGGGAGACACTGAAAGTTACTTCTAAGAGAGTGATATGGCTAGATTTATATTTTAGATAGAGCATGCTTAGCCGCAGTTTGGAGAAAAGGTTGACCAGGGGGCTAGAAGCAGGGTTGTTAATTCAGACTACAGTGGTCCGAGTGAGAAATGACATAGGCCTGTACTGTGGCAGAGGCAAGAGGGATGAAGAAGAGGGAGCAGGCTTGAGAAATATTTAGGAAGCAAAATGAACAACACTTGATTATATCTGGGGATCAAGGGAGAAAGGTGACTCAAAGATGACTCTCAAGTTTCCAGGTAGGGTGACTGCCACCAATTTAGATAGAAAAATAGAAAAAGGAACAAGTTTAGAGAGATGATTGGATCTGTTTTGGTCTTTTGATGCGTATGGGACATCCTGGTCAAGATTTTCAGCAGGGACACTGGATGTGCAATTTTGAAGCTCATGGGGAGAAATATGAGCTAAAACTAGATATGTGGAAGCATGTGAAAATTGAGTAGTTTGGGTATGTTGAGTAAAATAAGAGGTCCAAGGATAAAACATTAAGGGACACTAATTGCGAAAGGGCAAGTTAACAGGAATCTATGAATGAGATGAAGATGAAATGTTAGGAGGGAAATTAGGTGAAGTTGTGCCCATTAAGCCAAGAAAAGGTATCATTTTACAAAGGAGGATTCCATGTGGTGGAAGATTAGGACTGCCACTTTCTGGAGCCAGTGAGACCTGACTTAGCTTGAGGCAAATGCCAGGTTGCAGTGGAATGAAAAGGAATGAATAGGTAAAGAAGTGTGGATAGCCCTGCTGGTGTGGTTTCAGACCGAGTGTCATTCCACGGACTGAGAGGTCCTGGTTCCATTCCCGGTCAGGATACATGCCCAGGTTGCAGGCCTGATCCCCAGTAGGGGGCATGCAGGAGGCAGCCAATCGATGTTTCCCTCTCACATCAGTGTTTCTATCTCTCTCTCTCACTTCCCCTCTCTCTCAAAAAAATCAATAAAAACGTATTTAAAAAATAAAAAGAAGAAGAGGAATATATGATAAGTAGGGGAAGAGAGAAAATGGGCAATTACTAGGGCACTACAAAGTCAGGCCAGAGATTTGAGCACACTGATCTGATGAGAGGAAGGCAACAGAAGAAAAGAATTACTGAAGGAAAAAAGGTGCCTGATGGAACCAGGCCTTGGAGTGGATTAGAGAGAATGTGTTCAAGTGCACAGGACCAGGAGTTTGCCTGGATAGGAGAGGTATTGGAGTAAAGATGACAAAGTATGTGGATATAAATAAATGTGTAGGTCCAAGGTAGAAAGGTGAGGGGGCGCATTAAGTGATGAAGCCATTTTTCTTGACAAAGTAGGACGAGGCCATATTGTCTGAGGAGTTGTAGGAGGACCACTAAACAGATGACATGAGAAGTGAATAGTTTGAAATAGACGGTTGGGCCCTGGCCAGTTTGGCTCAGCGGTTAAAGCGTCGGCCTGCGGTCCGGAGAGACCCAGGTTCGGTTCCCGCTAAGGGCACGTACCTCGGTTGCAGTTTGTCCCCGGCCCTGGTTGGTCGTGCGGGTGGCAGCCACTCGATGTGTCCCTTCACGTCGATGTTTCTCTCTCTCTCTCCTTTCCTCTCTCTCCCTCCCACTCTAGCTGTACAAAAAATGGAAAAATATCCTCGGGTGAGGATAAAAAAAAAAAAAAAAAAGAAATAGACGGTTGGGAAGTGGGAAAAGCAGTTGAGAAAGGACAAGTGAGGAGATTTGATGAGCACTCAGATGAAGGAGAGTATACATTACAATGGTGCCAATTTGGACAGTCTGATTTTTCTCAGCAATGCCTATTTACTTGGATGTTGGGTTGGAAAGTGGATTCAAGCATTGATTAAGAGCTGGGATTTTGCTTTGTCGAGTGTTGGAGAAAGACAGGAGTGCAAGAGCTTGGGGACATGCATTAGTGAGAAGGCGGTTCTAGAGTGCAGGTCTGTGTTTGACTCTGGGTGAGAAAGAAGAGATAAACAAAGAAAAGTGGCACATCAGGGTGTGAAGCTCTGAGATCGACGAGTGTTGTGACAGAAGTAAAGGCAGTATAGGTGGTGACAACCCAATCCCTGGAAGTGGACAGTCCTGGGTTCAGAACCTAGCTCAGCCACTTGCTGGCCACATACGGTCCAAGCTGTTGTTTCTTTATCAATAAGGTAGGGCTGATAATAATACCTACACACCTGTACCTTAGGATACTGCCGATTTAATGAGAAAATACAAGAAGTGTGGCAGATGTTAAGCCCTGATTTATAACGTATTATTATTACTTGAAGGATAATAGGTTCTGAATAGGGTGTTCGCTGCAAGAGCTTTTTCTAGAGGCTGTGCAATGCCAGGCATCATCAGAGGTATTTAAGTGAAGACAGGCAAAACCCTCAACAATAAAGATTAATTAAAGAAGATAATTAATGGGCTTTAGGATTTCAAAGGTTACTCTGATTGAGAGTTGCTTTGGTGTGTGTAGAGGCTAAGGTATCTCCATCCTATAGGTCAGCATAGGGAGAGGCGTGGTTGACTATACATGCTAAGAGCTCACAGTGCAGTAAAAAACACTGCTCAGGTTCATGATATTCTGTTAATGTTTTGAACACGCCTCTGATGGGGTTCAGAACACACTGCCCCAAAATGTGGCTCTTGGCATGTTGCAGTAGCAGGCAGGTCACTCTGACCTCCCCTTGCCCTTCTTGCCTGAAGCAGGCTGTAAAACCGATGTGTGGGAGGTGTCCTCTCTGTACTCAGAAGAAAGGAACATCCTTATTTCCCAAGGCAAAGGGACTCTGGGACTCTGAGAAGCATCCAAACAGGCCTTGCTAAGCTTCCTGCACTTTATTAAATTACCGCACACTCCTTAACCTGTCTTATTCCACCATGGCTGTGCACTCTCCATCCAACCCAGCATAAATACAGCGGTCTAACTGTTCCTCTGGGTCTTCCTTTCCTATGAAAGCTCCAGGTCACTTAAAACTTGGCTTTCTAAATAAATGTATATGCTTTCCTCCTGCTAATCTGTCTTTATCAGTTCACTTTTCAGGCCCAGCCAGGGACCCAGAGGGTCAAGGAAAACATCTTTCCTACTCTACACTTCCAGTTTATTAGCCATGTCACTTAAATTCCTTATATTATTTTTAAGCTACCACCTTAGGCTATTAGGCTCAAAACTGAGGGAGTAGTTCCTTGCTTCTCTTACAGTGCGTGGGTTATTTTGGAAATAAAATAAAATAATGTGTGTAAAGTAAGATTGTGTTTTGCTAAGTATAGAGAGCACTTGCAAAGAAACAGTATTATTACTCCAAAGCAAAGAAATTATAAGTATAATAAGGACAATTACGTACTATATTTTGGGAAAAAATAAGTCTAGCATAAGGCCAGTTTGGGTAAGTACATTTTGGGAGTTTTGTGGGGTTTTTTAACTTGTTTTTCCTATTGTACTCTTTTTAAGACTTCACATTTTGCCAACGCTTGACATACAAGGAATTTGAAAAACACAAGGAAAGGACAATTCAACATCTTCACCAGTTGGCTCTTGAGATTCATAGTCACCCCAGCATTTCTTGGCGACAAAGAAAGAAATTAATTAAGGAATTTCAAAAACACCATCCAGAAGCTTTGTATTAACATTTCTGTGGCAGAGAAAACTACAATTTGTAAATGTAAACAAATCTCTGGTGGCTTTTCTGAAACGACCACACTGACACTTCAGGGACAGGATAGCCTCCAAGCCTGAAGTGCCATCATGTTTGAGATGTTAAGGAAGGTGGTCAGAAGGCACAGACCTCCAGTTATAAAGTAAATCAGTGCTGGGCTGTAATGTACAGCATGGCAACTACAGTCAATACTATATTATACATTTCAGAGTTGCAAAGAGAAATCTTAAAAAAGGGGGGGAAGTTTTTAACTTTAAAAGGGAATATAAGTTAAGCTGATGTATGCTGATTTACTTAATTATTATGCTGCTAAAGTCATGTATTAAATGTATTATTAGGGACCTGGTACATTTAATATCTTTAGGTTTTTATTTTCCCCACAGAAAAGGAACATTTCATACATGAATTCTCTGAAGAAAACATGCACTTTCCTTAGCATATATTATTTTAATCTATCGCCTTAGGCTACTATTACTTATACACTGTGAGTCATCTAAATAGGGTAAGACTTAGAAAGAAGATTTTAAAAGCCACAAATTTAAAATTCATGAATATCTAAAACCATGATTTTACCTTCTCTAATTCTTTTTTAGTCCATAGAGTATATTTTATGGCTTTCTTCTTTCCTGCCTCCTTCCCTCTTTCCCTCCCTCCTTCTTCCTCTCTCTCTCTCTTACTAGGAAAATTTCTACTTTAATGATCTGCATAAGTCAGATGGGGAATTCCTCCCTAACACTATGAATGGCTGGCACTTTGAGAAGTGCATTAAGTATACCATGTCCTTAGATATGCATTAGAAGATTAGAAGATTATATATAACCTTAAGTAAGTATCTTCCCTCTGAGCCTCAGTTTTGTTTTTAATCTCCAGAATAAAAATATATATGCATATATAATACTGGACCAGAAACATCAAAGATAGGAGGGAGAATATGGCTATGGTGGACAATCACAGAATGGGCTCTGGAATCAGAAACCTGAATCTACTAGTGACCTACTTGGTTCAGAAGGGAAATTTTTAGCAAGTGAATGACCTAGATTAAGGAAAATCCAATTTAGAAATAGAATTACTAGAACTTAGAGTTGTTTAGCAGTGCTTGAAATGATTTCTTATTCTTTAAACTGAATGACATTTACTAAAGTCATCAACATGTATACCACTATTCGATGAATCTTGTTTACAAAGAAAACATGTCTTCTACTGAATGGTTTTTGAAGGTTGAGGCATTAATTCCTAAAGAGAAATTCCTAACTGAGAAGTGCCACTCCACCTAGTGACAGCTCCATAAACTACAAGTTACTATGCTTAAATATAATTCCCAAGGGTATTGTCATTCAATTTTAGGCTAACCCATTTGAGGGACTTATTATGTGCAAAGTCTCTTTTTTCTCTGTATAAATAAAATCCAGCTCCAATCACTGTAAAGTTTACCTCCTAATAGAATATTCAGTAAATTTCCATGAGAATTAACAGCCTGATTCATAGTGCTTAAGACTGCTTAAACTTCACATTCTCAGGTACTATCGAGGTAAATAAAAAATTTTCTAATTCAAAGAAATAAATGTTGAGACAAAACTCATCTCCCATATAATTTATATACATAATGTTCAAGATTGAAAGCCATTCGTGACACCTTTTTTCCTGGAAATCTTGCCTCCCTGTACTCTCTACAAGTGGATTTGGAGGTGCTTTTACTATGCAATTGCTTGTGTGCTAGACAGACTTTGAACATAAAAACCAGAAAGTTGGTGTTGTAGCTCAAACTCTGTCATCAGTGACACTATCAGGCAACTGTTTGCTACCTAACTGGTTCCCTCACAGGTCTGTAATTCAACATTTGGTCCAGGCAAGTACTCCACTTCTGCTAGTGCCAGCCATATCATGCAGAAGCACCTAACAACGAGCTTTGAATTCTTTCTCCTTGGTATCAGAGAACCTCCAAGAGGTCACAGATATGGGTTGAGGGGAAGGTAAACCATTACATAGATCTCCTATGCAATGACTTGTCCAACCTGAGTCCAAAGTTGTATGTACCAGTTCCGCTTGACCATGGCATGCTGCTGTGTATGCCTAACCTGCAGTGGGGAAGGGAAATGACCACAGGGAGCAGACTGAGAGCAGCATTTCTGGTTGTTCAAGTTTCAGAAAGATATGGCTAGGAATGACCACTAATGGCTTGATGGGAGGTTCAGAGACTTGAAAACTAAAGACAAGAAACCTGGGAACTAGAAGCTTCAGAAATGAAGCATGTGAATGGACATCTCAGAATAGCTCCAAGTGCAAGGATATTTGTGTCCTGCATGAAAGCTCATCCAAGTCCTCTTCTGTGGGGAAGGCTCTAGGTGGACAGGGTAGCCTATACTGGGTGTTAGCCTCCTTGCCCAATTGTACTACATTCTGGGAAAATTCCCTCAGTTTGTTTTTCAGTTTTTAGTAGTGTCCATTCTGCTAGTCAACCCATCAATTAAGCATTAGTAATCCCTACTTTTTTTTTTATCCTCACCTGAGGATATTTTTCCATTTATCTTCAGAGAGAGTAGAAGGGAGGGAAAGAGACACAGTAACTGGTGGCCTCCCGCACAACCCTGCCCAGGGCCGGGGGTGAACGGCAACCGAGGTATGTGCCCTTGACCAGAATTGAACCCGCAACTCACTGGTCCATGGGCCAACCCTCTAACTGCTAAGCCAAACCGGCCAGGGCTAGTAATCACTACTTTTAATTTCTAACATCTGTCTTTGTTATAGCAACCTGTTCTTATAATAGATGTAATTCCCTCTCTCAGAGAATATTACAGTTTCTTTTGCTTATTTTATTCCCTAGGGGTTCATGCTTGTTGAACTTGGTGGTGTCAAGCACCCCTCGAATGTTTAATGCTTGGGTGCCTGTTTTATCATTTATGAATTCATTTCCCTGTCCGTTAACCTAAGTTCTAATTAGGGTGCCTTTCCTCGGCAGGAGGAAGGCGTGTCGAGTTCTCTAGGGGCCTGCCTTGTCAGAACCCTTTCTAATGAGGGCTGAGCCCTTGTCTTAGTCCCAGATCAGTGCCACAGCAGCTGTCCCCGCCATGTCTTAAAAGTCTGGTGCTCTTAGTAGATATGACATTATTTCAGGTTCTATTCTGTTTCTCTCTCCAACTCTCACACTTCTACTCTCACTGCGGAGCCTCTGCCCCAAGAAAGGGAGTAGGGCTCAGCTGTTTCCAGCTTCTTCTTTTCATGGCTCGCCCATGATCTCCTCTCTGTATCCCAAATTAAAATCTCTGGAATTGTTCTTACAACTTTAGTAGTTTCTCCTATCCTGATCTGGGACATGGGTTTTTTTGTCCTTGTTTCTCTAACAATTTAATCCAATTATTTTCTGTCTTTTAAAATTCCTCTTCATTTGTTCATTAATAGCACCCTTTTTGTTTCTTAGAGTCACTTCAGGATTTACTCCTCCAATAAAACTGTCTCATGCACACAATAAAGTATAGATTCTAATATAATAAACCTATGTGCCTACCACCCAGCTTGAAAAAATAGATCACAAATGGCTCGGTGCTCTGTGTATTCCTCCCAGATCGCATCACCTCCCTCCTCCACTGGCAATGTTTCAAGGGATGTGGGACAGGCAGAGAAGTAGATGAATGTGATCAGTTTACTGTGTCAAGCCAATCACCACCGAATTAAAAAATTCAAAACCAAGATAGAAAAGTGAGAGGACCATTCTATCTTGATTACTTACTGCTGGAAATCCTAATCCCCACTGTGTGAAGGTGCAGGCTATGCGTGGCCAACACTGGAACATGTTATTTCCATGCATGCAAATTACAATAAAAACGATAAGCTCTAATGTGGCTAAGTTCTGTCTCCACTTATAGTAAACCTCAAACTCCTTTTTCTGCTGCTCTCGGTAAGTGTTCAAAAAAATATGTCATCAATATTTTTCCATAATAGAGATCTTTAACATATCACTTCAGACAATGTTATTGAGGGCTAATGTTAAATGTTCTCTTTGAAGGCAACTCATTGTATAGTATTAAATCATTATTTCTAGCAATAAAGTTTACAAAATTAGGCAGTTGTTGAAATACATGGAAGCACTTTGATAGTACAGATAAAAGATTAGGTTCTATGTTCATTAATTTAAGAAATAAGCCCTGTTCAGTGTAGCTCGGTTGGTTGGGCATCATTCAGTGCACAGAGAGGTTGCCCGTTGAATTCCTAGTCAGGGCACACACCCAGGTTTTAGGGTTGTGAGCTTGATCCCCACTAGTGGGCTTGCAGGAGGCAGCCAATTGATGTTTCCCTCTCCTTTCCCCTTTCTAAAAATCAATTAAAAATCTTAAAAAAAAAAAAAAAAGAAAGAAATGAGCCCTGGCCGGTTTGGCTCAGCAGTTAGAGCATCGGCCTGCGGACCAGAAAGTCCCAGGTTCGCTTCCCGCTAAGGGCATGTACCTTGGTTGCAGTTTGTCCCCAATCCGTTTGGGGTCATGTGGGTGGCAACCAGTTGATCTGTCTCTCTCACATCAATGTTTCTCTCTCTCTCTCTTCCCCCCTCTCTCCCTCCCACTCTATCTGAAGATAAATGCAAAAATGTCCTTGGGTGAGGATAAAAAAAATTTTTTTTGAATTAATTTTTATGGTCTCAAAAAATAAGCACTATGAGACCTGTAAAGTATACAGAAATTATAGTCTAATGTAGTAAGGATGTGAACACATATGCATCCTTCTCAGTAGAACATAACACAAGACTTCAGGTGAGGGCATGTTTTGGGAATGCAGCTTTGAGGAATGCCCAATTACAGCAAAAACGCCTGGTTGATAATGATAGTCTTCAGCCTGTCCAAGATGAGATCCTGACAAGTCAAGGAAAGCCCTTTAAAGGGGGTTTATCTTTTTACCTCCAACAATATCACCTTGAAATTCAAGCACTGTTACACTGTATGGCTGTAAACAAGTATGCCACCAGCATCTTTTTCCTACAATGTCCACAAATTGTATGTTAGTAACTGGGTGTCAGACAAACACACTCCATTTGCAACTCTGTAAAGATAACCAGCGGTGGTCTAGGAAGGACTGACCTGACCCTTACCAGTACAATCCAATATATAACCAGCACACAGCTCTTTCAACCCTGCCCAGCATCTGTCTCTTCACCTTAACTTTCCATGGGAAACTTCCTTCTTTCATTCTCTAGGCTGTCTCGACAGTAGGACTGTCAAAGTCCCCAAAGCCATGAGGTTAGGCACATGATCCTAACTTGAGAAAAGAGACTGGTAAGAATTTGATTCATGAGCAAAGGCCAGAGAGAGGAAATATAGAAGGTGAGATACTGATGGCAGGGTCTATAGGGATTGTCCCTTAGCTTCTATAACCTTGATGCCTAAGATTATTTGTTTTTTGTTTTTAATGTTTTTATTGATTTTTTAGAGAGCGAGAAACATTGATGTGAGAGAGAAACATTGATTGGCCGCCTCCTGCCTGCCCCCCACCAGGTATTGAGCCCGCAACCTGGGCATGTGCCCTGACGGGGAATCTAACCAGGACCTCTCTGTCCATGTGATGACATCCAATCTACTGAGTCACACCGGCTGGGCTGGTTTTTATTCTTAAGGCTGTTGGTTCCACTTTTTCTTCGATTTTATGCGCTGTCCTCTGTCCTGCTGATAAATTTTACCTTGCTTAAGACAGCGCTGAGTTTCTACTGTTTGCAATCAAAGAAGCCTACCTGACCCATTCATTCATGTCACTGTAAGCTGCTTCCTCCTATGGAAAGCTATAGCCTTTAACACCTTAAAGTTTTTGAACAACCCCAAGTTAACTTCAAATTTATTTTCATCCCAACAAATGGTGCAGTATTTTTATGAGTGAAAGAATACATTCCTACCAACACAGTAGTGACCAAAACACTTTAGTAAATTGGCTTTAGTCTCTACCCTTTCAGTCTTACTCTAAGTAAAAAAAAAACAACATTAAACACACATAAGATTGATCTTTCCAACTTTAGTATATATAAATAAAAATGACAACTTTAAAGTAAAATACTTGATTCTAAAAGAGAGAAATCATACCAGACTGGGAACACTTGGCCAATTCCTAGTCACAGTCACACAAAACTACCTTCCACAGAAAACTTACCAGTGAGACAGTTAAGTTTCTGCTTTCAGCTATGAAGAATTAAACTTAAAATGCATTCACTCTTTCATCTTCTAATGAAAAGGAAACCTACTCTCAGAAACAGCATAAGCATTGTTACAGTGGTCTAGCTCCTAAGTGAAAATATGGGCTGAGTTACAGTTTACTTAATAACCTAGCTGAGAACCCTTTGAAAATTAGCTGCATGGATCAAAGTATTTACATAAGTTCAAGTCTTTATCTTAAAAGGTAGCACAGGTCCTTAAACTTCTTTAAAAAGCACATTTAAATGAAAACTTTGTCACAACCAGTAAAAACCTTCATTGAGAAATGTTTCTTAAATATCAAATTTCTCTTCACAGACGCTATGTCCATTTTCTTCATAATCTTCTCTTGTTACCACCATATCTTCAAAATCGTCATTCTCTGATATCAGTTTTCCACCTTCCCAGGCATAAGTAATAGGGCTAAAAATAAAGGTAAAATAAATCAATGCAGATGATTGAAAACTAAAAAGCCAAAAACATGATTAGTAACTAAAATGTAGCAATCTCTACCCAACAGAAAATCATTTAAAGTTTGAACTTAAAATCATTTAAAGCATAAACTTCATAGGATTAAGCAAACTCAGAAAGAAAGGAACCCTGGTCAACACAACAAATAGTTGTTCTTTTAGTTCTTTCCCTGTGCCCAGAATTCTAGTAAAAAGAATACAAACAAAAGATCAAAAATACATAGTACAAAAAACACTGTCCTGAGTCTAACTTCTGTATGTGGCAAAGACGTCATCACACAGCAACCCATGACACAGCTATTATAACTCCCATTTGACAGATTTGGAAAATGAGGTTTAGAGAGATTAAGTCTGAAACTAGATTTAACCTGGAAGTGTTTTCACACAGTCTGTGCTTTTGCTGCTATACTTTGTTGCCTCTCATAAATGAGACATTTAGAAAACACAGTGCATGATACACAGTTTAATGGTAGGACATGGACAACAAGTAAAACTAGAGCATTAAACATTTAGTTTGGCTTTATTTACAAGCAAGCTTATATACTTTGTGTTATGAATTAATTCTATTTCTACTGTTCCTCTATGTATCCGCAATCCAGTTTCAAATCTAAAAAATGAGAAGAAAAAAAAATCTAAAAAATTAGAAAGAAAAAAGTTAATGTTTTCCTTATGGTATTTATTCCATTTCCAACCTTGGGGTGGGGACAGAGAGAGAGAGAGAGAGAGACCGCGCGCAGTAGTAGTACAATAAAGATTTGATGAACAAAAAACAAAACTATTTTTGTGCATCTCTTAGCCTGTAACATGTGCATAACTTACATTTAAAATGCAGGATAAAAAACCAATATGCTTCATGCTCTACACAGAGTATATGAACATTAATGCTGATAAAAATCATTTCAATATCTAATGGTTATTTTTTTTACCTGATAGCTACAAAACTAAGTAATCAGATGAGGGTCTTCTGTTCACTGCTATAGATTTTGGAAATTTTTATGTTAGCTTTAAAACAAAACTCTAAAATTAAGTCAGGTATGGGGAATCTTGTTTACAACTCAGGCACTTAAGATTTGGGAGGGAGCAGTTATTTAGACATGTATTTGGGATAAGCACCTGCTTAAAGGTAAAGAGAACTGGGTTTTGATCTGGTCACGGCTATCAACTCACTGTAAAGCTTTTGCCAACTCCTGAGCCCTTGTTTCCTTATTTACAAAATAAGAATGGTGAACAGGATGATGTGTAAGCCTTTCTTACAGCCCTAAAAATCTGCCTTAATTTTTTTCCCCACTAAAGTGGAAATGGTATCTGCTTTTTCTCATAAAACAGGACAGGAAGATACATATAAAACAGTTTTGAATTTAAGAAAAACTAATTAAATGTAAAAGTTAATTTAAAATATTTTAAATTTTAAAAGATCTTAAAACATTCCAAAACAGCTTATGAATTGACATCTTAATAGGGCAATTCTTAAATTTCTATTCTTGATAGCGACTCTCAGGAAATGATACGCCTCAGATAACTCAAACAGCTAATAATCTAATTGCTTTGCCTGTAAAAGTCTCTTAGGAACAAGGACTGACTTACTATAGGGAAGTGACCTCATATTAACCAAGTGCCCACTGTGTACCAGCCATTATGGTGGATATTTCACATACTTCATCCCACTGAATCCACTGAAATGGAAGGTTTATTACTTCAGTTTTTGAGAAAAAGAAAATGAAGATCCCAAAGGTGAACTAAACCTGCCAACGTGGCAGAACCAGGTTTTAAACTCCAGTCTGCCTATAGACAGACCCCTTTAGCTACAAAATGATTTCCATGTTGTTTCTTTATAAGCCAACACTTACTTTTCAGGCAGCACAACAGAAACATCATAATCTGTTGGAGTGAGACATCGAACTTCTGAGTAAACCCGATCCCTAAATCCTGGGAAAAGGGAATTCCCTCCTGTCAAAACAATGTTCTTAAAAAAATGTGGCTGCATTTCTTTAAAAGAACAAAAAGGAGAAAGGGAAGAAAAAAAGGCATTAGAAAATCTGTTTCCTTATCTTTCTGGAATGATAAGGATGAAGGCTTACGTAAAAGCAATTAGAGATTATAGTTACTGGTTGGGAAACCATATAATTTTTTTATAACCATATAAATTACAATTTCTAAAATTTTATGAGGTTATAGTTTACACCAATATACATACTAAACAGAAATATGACCTCATAGATATTGAAAACAAAGACTAAGGTGAAAAGGTTGAACTATAGGCTACTTACTATATTATACGGGTAACTTATACAAAAATTAGTAACATTCTAGTAGCAGACATTTGATAATTATCATTGTTCTTCCCTAAAATGGAAGGGGTCTTTGTGTAGGCTGAGACTGTTAGCTAGTGTAAGGATAAAAAGGAGGTCCTTCATGACATTTGTACTTGGGAATCCAAATTTCCATATTATCTCACTGAGAGAGATATTTGTGTAAGTACTATGCAATAGTTACATTTGATTGTGAAACATACTCATAATCTATAATAATATTTAAAGAAAGGACCTTATGTTTTACACTCATTAAAGTTACATGATGGCAAACATTAAGTGCCATATGGTTAGCCAGTGTTAAAGCCTACTAAGCACCCCTGGGAAACTTATCAGCAATTACAATAGTAAGCACTAGCCATCCACCTAACGCTGCTTCTGTTCCCAAAACAAGGAATGAGTTCCCATATATTGATATTGAGTCTCCAGGCATGACATTAAAGGAGTGCAGTATAAAATGCTGTATACTTACTTCATGACTGTAAATTTATATAAAATGTGAAAGTAATATAAAATATTAATATGAAAATAGTTGTGAAATAATTCTTCATTGGTTTTCTCCAATGCCTACAGTGTTCCTTAGGAACTAGGAAGGCATTTTCAAGATGTAAAAGTACTCTACAGCTACAGAATAATAGTTAAATCACGCTTTAGGAGAATCCAGACATCACTGGGAAACACCATACTTCGATCTCATTACAATTAACTTCCACTATATCAATCCAAACAGAACAGAAAGAATAAACTAGTCCCACCAAAAGCTGAAAACCATTAGATTGTTAAATTATAAAGTTCTATTCTGTGCAAATCTTGATTAAATTGAAACTTTTTCTAAAATGGATATGGCAACTTAACTCATAGAGAGATTAATTTCTTCAAGTTTAAGTGGACAGTAGTGACTTTTCCCAGATTTATAATCTAGGACCAATAAAAAAAATGATTCAACTACACTACTGGATCTGGAAATCTCTACAAATAAAACAGACTTGCCATTTGCTGAAATTATTTAGAACAGATGACTTCTCTAGGGTTCATAGAATTTATGATTTTGTAAAAATAGCATTACTACTCAATATTTTAACTATGTACCTTCAGGTAAATTCTGAATTGAATAGACAATCGCTTCTGGAATTCCCATTTCTTGAATGCCTATATCAGAAGGATTAAAGAGTATTTCTGGAACAGCAAATCTTTCATTGGCCAGACGAAGAATTTGTTCCCCAGATTTATATTTTCCACTTAACACCATCTCTTCTCTTGGCTTAAAAAAAAAAAAAAGATAAACCATTTAATCTACATTACCTAGCTCACAAACTAATAACACTTAGTAATATAGAATACTAATATATGGCCCTGGCCAGTTTGGCTCAGCGGTTAGAGCGTCGGCCTGCGGTCCAGAGAGACCCGGGTTCGGTTCCCGCTAAGGGCACGTACTTCGGTTGCAGTTTGTCCCCGGCCCTGGTTGGTCGTGCGGGTGGCAGCCACTCGATGTGTCCCTTCACGTCGATGTTTCTCACTCTCTCTCCCTTCCTCTCTCTCCCTCCCACTCTATCTGTACAAAAAATGGAAAAATATCCTCGGGTGAGGATAAAAAAAAAGAATACTAATATATGAACATGTTCTTGGAAATTTCAGGATTCTCAAGTTAGAAAAAAGTGGTCTTCTCTGCTGTTGCCTAAACTACACAAATAAATAATTACTGACTCTAATATAATTATTCCCCTAAAGCTAATCTGGCTTTATCCCACACACTGTACTTCTTTTTATTTTTTTAAATCCTCACCCAAGGATATTTTTCTGTTTATCTTTACAGACTAGAAGGGAGAGAGAGAGGGAGAGATAAACATCCATGTGAGAGGGACACATCGACTGGTATCTCCCACACACCAGGGCTGGGGAGAAATCGCAACCAAGGTTCATGGCCTTGACTGAAATCAAATCCGTGACTCATAAATAGTCTGTGGGCCGATACTCTAACCGCTGAGCCAAACCTACCGGACTACCCCACACATTTTTTTTTTTTTTATCCTCACTCGAGGACATTTTTCCATTTTTGCTCAGATAGAGTGGGAGGGAGGGAGAAAGAGAGAAACATCAACGTGAAAGGGACACATCAAGTGGCTGCCACCCTCACGACCAACCAGGGCCGGGGACAAACTGCAACCGAGGTACATGCCCTTAGCGGGAACCGAACCCGGGTCTGTACAGACCGCAGGCCGACGCTCCAACTGCTGAGCCAAACCGGCCAGGGCTATCCCACACATTTTAAAACAGAAAGAAAAGAACAGATGAGAGGGAACCTCATAAATTACCTATAATAGTAGACTAATTCCTGTTTCTAGAGAATAAGAACATACTCTTAATAGAAAACACTTATACATTCTTCGGTACATCTTTAAATTTATTCAATCTCTATTTAATAATCCAAATGATTTAAACAAATATATGGACATTATCACTGAAATTCTTATTATTTATTTTCTGCTAACCCACCCATCTGTGAGCTGTGTTCCTGAAGGGCCAGAAAAAATAATCTCCTTCTACAATATTATACATCATTAAAGTAATATTCCCTCTCAATTTTACTAAGAATCATCAGCTCTTCTAGATTCAGTTATAGACATCCACTTCATTTGACTCATATATGAAATTTTCTCCCATAACAATGTGTATTCTAATCCTTAATATATAGAAATACTTAAAATATACCAAAGAAAATACCAGTAATTTATTAAAGTATTATATATAAAGAATTTTATACTAACCACTATACTGTATACCTGAAACTAATATAATATTGAATGCAAACTGTAATTAAAGTAAAATTTTTAATATTATGGATTCCTAATAATCAGTCATCTCCTCTCTATTCAGATTTCAGCTTCCTCAAGAGAGGCTTTTCTGACTCCGAAATAAAAGGTCCCTCCATTATTCTCTACTATCACCCTTACATATTATCCTTCATAGACTATATTGTACATGTCCACTACCTAGCACAGCATAGCACTGATACACAATGAGTATTCAATTAATTCTTGAACAACGGGCATGTGACCCAGCAAAGGTCTGTTACCATTTGGAAATTCCATGCTCAAAACGATATCCTAAAAACTAAACAATGTTCACAATACTATAGGAAGAACAAGGAAAGCTACAAATCACTTTTAACCCAATTAAACTATAATTACACTAGCAAAGAGAATACTAGTTCTTCACAGATAAAGTATTCTTCTTTCTTAGGTAAAATGAAAACTATTTACTATAAGTTTACAAATTCATTTAGAAGTGATATTGGCTTGAGTCAAAAGGACATAACTCATTTGTCAACACTCAAAATAACCTGAGACGGATGCAGACTTGGAGAATTTCAGTTGACAAAACAGATTATGTAGTCCATGGCCTTGATTTTCCAGAAAAAGGTCATGGGACTTACCCTGGATCAAATATTTAACTAGAGGAAAGAGCCAGAACTAAATACCCTTGCTGAATGTAAGCTCTAAAGCCATTAGCTGTTAATATGTAATCCAGAACCACAAGTAGTTTCTGCTTTTAAGAATACAATTCCAAAACAAAGATTTTTCTTTTAGACAGACAAATGGAGGAGGTTATAGGGCTGCTGGGAGTTCCTATTTTAGTCAAGGTAGGCCACGGTTACTGCACAGCCCTCATAAATTTCATTCTGGTACCATGAAGGAAATGATCAGTTTAAATTACAATGGCTCTGGCCCTGGCCGGTTTGGCTCAGCGGTTAGAGCGTCGGCCTGTGGTCCAGAGAGACCGGGGTTAGGTTCCCGCTAAGGGCAGGTACCTCGGTTGCAGTTTGTCCCCGGCCCTGGTTGGGTTGTGCGGGTGGCAGCCACTCAATGTGTCCCTTTCATGTCGATGTTTCTGCTTCTCTTTCTCCCTCTTCCTCTTTCTCCCTCCCACTCTATCTGAACAAAGAACGAAAAAATGTCCTCAGGTGAGAATAAATAAAAAAATTATAATGGCTCTGCAGAAAGTGGTAATATTATGAAGGCTATCTTCTCAATTTAAGTCAGTCAAGTGCATTACACTTTAGTAGGCATCCTCCTTCTAATAAGAGATAAAACTGGAATTTCTATAAGTTGTAATCAGTAACAGTATTATAGACTTTATTATTGTTACTATCATCACTACAAGAAAATCAAGTTTGTAACTTTTCCCCAAGTATTTAAAAGTACTCTTTTTCCCCAAAAAATATGTTTTCATTGACTTTTTTTTAAAGAAAGGGAGAGAAACATGGATGTGAGAGAGAACTATCTATTGGCTGCCTCCTGCACACTCCCTTCTGGGGATCGAGCCCACAACCCGGGCATGTGTCCTGACCAGGAATCAAATCAGGACCTCTTAGTCCATGGGCCAACACGCAATCCACTGAGCCATATCAGCTGGGCTAAAAATATTCTTGAATAAACTATCAAGGTCCAAATTTTAACAATATCCTAAGTGTCAAGATTCTCACATTTTTCTCTATATGTAGTATTGTTTTTCTAATTTCATAAATATTTATCAGCTCTCATCAAAGTTGTTACATATCAGGCAACAATTAAAACAAAATAATTAAATATTAAATTAAAAATAATACATTTCGCCCTGGCAGGTTTGGCTCAACAGTTAGAGCGATGGCCCGCAGACCAAAGAGTCCCAGGTTCGATTCCAGCCAAAGGCACGTACCTCAGTTGTGATTCATCCCCAGCCCTGGTTGGGTCATGCAGGTGGCAACCAATCAATATGTCTCTTTCACATCGATGTTTCTCTCTCTCTCTCTTCTTCCCTCTCTCCCTCCCCCTCTATCTGGAAATAAATGTAGAAATATTCTCAGGTGAGGATAAAAAAAAGAGCATCCGCCCTCAGACCAAAGACTCATGAGTTCAGTTTCCGGTCAAGGGCACGCACTTTGGTTGCAGGTTCAATCCCCAGCCAAGGTCGGGTTGTGCAGAAAGCAACCAATCAATGTCTCTCTCACATAAATGCTTCTCTCTTTCTCTCTCCCTCTCCTTCCCTCTCTTCCTCCCACTCTATCTAAAATCCAATGGAAAACTATCCTTGGGTGAGGATAAAATGATAATAATAACAACAATAATAATACATTTCAGGAGTAATTCTAACATGCACAAATATAGCTTTCTAAATTTAAAAAATTATTAAGATATATGCATGACTCAACACGTACTGTGAATAAAGTATAAATTTTAACACTAATTAACAAAGTAAAGACTAAACCATTATTTTTGAAATAAAGATCCAATTGTAACTCTCCATCATCTGGCAAAAGTACAGTCCAACTAACTCCATTCAACTGATATTAAAGTACAAAACCAATAAGAAATCTATAGTTAATGAAGCACAATCTATAATAAGATTCTGATCAGGAGGCCAGGGTCAATAAAAGAGCTGCAAACAATGTAATGTGGCTTCCACCTTTTTCTCCAAAGATAATGAGTAAAACAATAGTCAACTATAATAACAACACCTCTACTAGCTCACTATGCAAGGTGCAGGTTTGAGAAAACAAGGCTTATGATTTGGCAAGGAGAAAGTGATACTGTTCCGTAGATAATGGCCAATAAACTGATAGATTGTCATTGGCAGGACAGAAAAGAACTACATTTTTTAAAAAAGAAAGTTTCCCAAACCAGTTGGCAGTCCAATCACCTGGAAAACACTTTTTCTTTTATTAAGATTATATGTGGAATCTAATGTACAAAACAAACTGACGAACAAAGTAGATCCAGAGACATGAAAGTATGGAACAGACTGACAATCTCAGAAGTGGGGGTTGGAGAGATTAATCAAAGAATTTATCTGCATATAAGACAGCAGACAACATGGACACAGACAACAGTGCAGTGAAAGCCTGGGGGCAGGGAGTGGGGTGGAGGTGGTCAATAGGGGAATAGAAGGGTGAGGGATATCTGTAATATCTTCAACAATAAAGACTGATTGATTGATTGATTAATTAATTTAAAAAGATTAAATCTAAGTTTTCAAACTCGGGCACTAAGCATTTCCAAGGACAGGAACTGAGAACATAGATACACATGGTTCTTCAAGTAGCCAGGTGACTCCTATGACCAGTCAGGTTTGGAGAAACTGGGACTCACTGAAACTTTACTCAGAGTCCACCCCTACAGAAATACGGATTGCTTTACATCGGCCATTAACTCTCCAGAGTGCTGCAAGTTCTCCATAAGGTGTTTTACATCACTGGACTGCTTTAATCAGCTATAATATATAAGGATGATCAAATGGGCCCAATGAGAAAACAGCTTGACAGCTATATGTTTAAAGCAGTCTATATAAAGATAAAAACACACCTTCCATATGCTAAGTAGGACTTGGGCCTCCAGTTTCTCTCCCTAGTTTATATCTTTCAGGTAACCTGATTCCATACCTGTCCCAATTCCCACTTCTGAAAGCCAGCTTAGGTCCTTCCACAAGGATCTGTGTCTCAGGACATTAAAGGATCATTACAATTTTAAAAGGCATCAGGTAGCATTCTCTGAATTCTGATTTGTATTTCACCTCAATAATCTGGCCAAAAAATTTTTTTTTACATTTCAGGCATGCAAAGGAATATAAATAATTATACAAAACCCATGTATCTATCAATCAGTTTAATGCAATTTTACAGATAAATTAACACTCGCCTTGTCAACTTGGTGCTATCATTCATATGCAGTTTTATACTTTCACTTCATATTTATATAGTCCTAAACAACAAATTATTATTCTGCATAGCCTGAAACTAGACAGAGCCTCCTAAAACTTACCTTTAGATATCATCTTTTAAGTGCTTTAGATAAAAACGTATTTCTGGGGCTTAGCCATGATGATCTTGTAGCTATACTTCATGTTTACTGCTGCTTATTTTATAATATGAATACACCAAAATTTATTTATTCCATTAGTGAATATTTTCTTAATGTTAACTTAGTTTTGTACTTTGGCAAATATGTTAACTTTTTTTTTAATTAAAAAGATTTTTTTGCCCTGGCCAGTTTGGCTCAGCGGTTAGAGCATCGGCCTGCGGTCCGGAGAGACCCGGGTTCGGTTCCCGCTAAGGGCATGTACTTCGGTTGCGGTTTGTCCCCGGCCCTGGTTGGTCGTGCGGGTGGCAGCCACTCGATGTGTCCCTTCGCGTCGATGTTTCTCTCTCTCTCTCCCTTCTTCTCTCTCCCTCCCAGTCTATCTGTACAAAAAATGGAAAAATATCCTCGGGTGAGGATAAAAAAAAAAAAAAAAAAAAAAAAAAAAAAAAGATTTTTTTTTTTTGCAGCCTGGCCAGTGTGGCTCAGTGATTGACCATTGACCCATGCACCAAGGTCACCAGTTCAATTCCCAGTCAGGGCACACACCCAGGTTGTGGGCCTGATTCTCCAGTGAGGGGCATGCTGATGTTCTCTCTCATCGATATTTCTCTCTCTAAAAATCAATAAAGAAAAAAATGTATATAAAAAAAATTTTTTTGCCCTGGCCGGTTTGGCTCAGCAGTTAGAGCGTCAACCTGCGGTCCAGAGAGACCCGGGTTCGGTTTCCGCTAAGAGCACGTACCTCGGTTGCAGTTTGTCCCCGGCCCTGGTCGGTCGTGCGGGTGGCAGCCACTCGATGTATTCCTTTCACGTCAATGTTTCTCTCTCTCTCTCTCTGTTCCTCTCTCTCCCTCCCACTCTACCTGAACAAGGAATGGGAAAGTGTCCTCGGTTGAGGATAAAAAAAAAAAAAAAAAATTTTTTTGCCCTGGCCAGTTTGGTTCAGTGGTTGGGGTGTCGGTCCTCAGACCACTGAGTCTCGGGTTCAATTCCAGTCAAGGGCACGTACCTCGGTTGCAGTTTCTCCCTGGACTTGGTCGGGTCATGTGGGAGGCAACAGTCAATGTGGCTCTGTCACATTGATGTTTCTCTCTGTCTCTCTCTCTCTCTCTCTCTCTCTCTCTCTCTCCCCCTCCCACTCTATCTGATAATAAGTAGAAAAATATCCTCAGGTAAGGAATAAAAATATTTTTTTCCAATTACAGTTTATATTCAATATTATTTTGTATTGGTTTCAGGTGTGTGGCATAGTGGTTAGACAATCATACACTTTACAGAGTGTTCCTCCTGATGGTTCTAGTACCCACCTGAATATTTAGGTTCTTCCCAAATTTTCACTCTTTGATATATAGCGCAATATTACTATAAATATCTCCTTGTGCAAATATGCTTGCATTTCTTTTTTTTATTTTTTATTTTTTTATCCTCACCCAAGGACATTTTTGCATTTATCTTGAGATAGAGCAGGAGGAAGAGAGAGAAACATCAATGTGAGAAAGACATCGACTGGTTCCCACCCACATGACCCCAACCAGGGCCAGGCGCAAACTGCAACTGAGATATGTGCCCTTAGCGGGAACTGAACCCTGGCCTCTCTGGTCTGCAGGCCGATGCTGTAACCGCTGAGCCAAACCAGCCAGGGCCAAATATGCTTGCATTTCTAACATAAGTTTTTAAACTTCCCTAACAGTCCTTATCAAGCCAGTCACAAGGGCAAACATCCCATTTACCCAAACAAAGAACTGATCATTTACCTGAGCTGATCAAAGACACTGAGAAACTACTTTGTTTTCACATCCAAGATAAACTACTTCTCAACACTTTGAAAGTACATTGGAATTTGCCCTTTTCAACTACAATCTGATCATGTCAGACCAAATATGAGTGAAATTCAGCCCTGGGTCAGCTGTATCAATAATATTTACAACAGGCAAATAACCAACTTCCAACTGAGTTTAATTTCTAAGTAAACAGAAAAGGGGTAATCATAATACAGATATATCATACTGTTTATCTCCAGATTTGTCACTTGGCTGACAGTTCATTTTCTAAATAACATTAGTGAGATATTTATTAATCATTTAGGCACTTGTGCCTGGAGAAATGCACCAGGAAGACAGCTGTCACTAATTCTGTTAGGACTGCACTGATCTCAGTTGGATGCTTTCAAATCTGACTGAGGTGATCACTCGAAGAAATATAATTGAGGATTTTTCAAATTACCTTACAAAAGCCCTTTTTAATTGTACTAAAGTCAGGCAAAACATAGTCTATCATGACTGTATTTTCTTCTCCTTTCAACCTAGAAAAAAAATAAAGATTGATGAAATATTTTAACTATGTATAACATTCCCAAGAATCAACTTCCCAATTCTTAGATTACCATTATACGTACTTGGCAATATCCATATCTCTATAAAAATCCTGAGACACATAGCATACATCTTCTTTCACTTGATTAATCACATGTGTTTCATCCATAACATGTAACTGCCTAGAAAGAAATAAAAATTGTAAAATTTAAAATGAAAAAGACCCCAGGCCGGTGTGGCTCAGTTGGTTGAGCACTGTCCCGTGCACTGAGAGATCACCAGTTTGATTTCAGGTCAAGGAACATGCCTGAGTTTCAGGCTCAATCTCCAGAGGGTGTCATGCAAAAGGCAGCCAATAGATGTTTCCCTCTCTCTCTCTCTCTCTCTCTCTCTCTCCCCCCCCCCACCCCTGTCTCCTTTCCTCTCTCTCTCAAATCAATAATAACATATATTAAAAAAATAAAATGGAAAAGATTTAAATATAACTTACAATGATCATTTAAAATATTTTTTCTAGAATTAAATTTTTCAGCAACTACTTTTTAAAAATAAATTTTTTAATGTGTAAAATATTTGTAACTTTATGAAATACTTATTTCCATTATCTTAATCAACATATTATCTCTCTGAAGGCAAGTATAAGTCTAGTTTACAGAAGGAAATTAAAAACAGGCATTGAACAACAACATCAAAATTACAACTAAACTACAGAACAACCATCCTTCAAAGCCACCTGAAATCAAGCTGCATGGAAGTCCTACAACTACGGAATTAAAGCAGCAGCCACATCGAGACTGGTAGGAGGGGCAGAGGTGAGACGGGTTGGTCCCACACACACGTGTGCCGGATAAAAATTGGGAGGATACCTCGGCTGGGAAGGTCCTCCTTGAAGACTGAGGGGTCCCCATCACACACCAGGAGCCCTGCTCAGGGTTCCAGTGCCAGGAAGAGAATCCCCAAAACTTCTGGCTGAAAAAAACAGCGGGAACTAAGGCTCAGGGAAGCTGAGGCAGCTGGAGCCTCAGGCAGCTCCTCTTAAAGGGCCCGCACACAGACTTATCAGACTCACTTCCTCTAAGCTTGGAGGGGAGGCAGCTCAAGGGGCGCCAGAGACATACAGGGAAGAACTGAGCTGTTTGGCATTGGAGCAAGGGCTGGAGAGGGGGCTTTCTCCGGGACAAACGTGCTGTCAGAGGCCTTTGTTCCTTTGGTGAACCCTTCCCTGGGGCGGCAGACAGCCACCATATCTGGGACTCCAGCAACCTGGCTCACACTGGTAACCCGCCCTGCGGATTCCCTGTGGCCCCGCCCCACCCAACTTTCAGGCCCACCCAAGCTGATGCCAGTTGGTTGGTTAACTAGAGGATTGGCCTGTCTTGGATCCTGCTTCAGGTTTTCCTAAATTCTTTCAAACAAGCAGCATCTGGTCTCAGCTAGCCCCATACCTCTCATTAAGCAATACACAGAAACAAACACAGGGAGGCAGCCAAAATGAAGAGACAAAGAAACAGGTCCCAAATGAAAGAACAGAACAAAACCCCAATAAAAGAACTAAGCGAAATGGAGATAAGCAACCTAACAGATGCTGAGTTCATTATACTGCTTATAAGGATGCTCGATGAACTTAGTGAGAACCTCAGTGAACTTAGTGAGGGCCTCAAGAGCATAAAAAAGGACCAGTCAGAAATGAAGGATGCACAGTCAGAAATGAAGAAGGCACTAACTGAAATAAAGAATAATTTACACAGATTCAATGGTAGAGTAGGTAAAGCCAAGAAGCAAACCATCGATTTGGAATATATGGAAGCAAAAAACACCCAATCAGAACAGCAAAAAAAAAAAAGGATCCAAAAAAATGAGGATAGTGTGTGTAAGGAACCTCTGGGACAACTTCAAGGGTGCCAACATTCGCATCTTGGGGGTGCCAGAAGGAGAAGAGACAGAACAAGAAATCAAAAACCTTTTGAAACAATAATGGCAGAAAACTTCCCTAACTTGGTGAAGGAAACAGACATACAAGTCCAACAAGCACAGAGAGTCCCAAACAAGATGAACCCCAACAGGCCCACACCAAGACACATCATCATCAAAATACAAAAGATTCAAGACAAAGAGAGAATCTTAAAAGCAGCAAGAGAAAAGCAATTAGTTACCTATAAGGGAGTTCCCATTAGGCTGTCAGCTGATTTCTCAAAAGAAACTTTGCAGGCCAGAAGGGAGTGGCAAGAAATATTCAGAGTGCTGAAAAGCAAGAACCTACAACCAAGATTACTCTACCCTGCAAAGTTGTCACTTAGAATCAATGGCCATATAAAGAGTTTCCCAGACAAGGAAAAGCTAAAGGAGTTCATCACCACCAAACCATTATTATATGAAATGTTGAAGCATCTTCTTGAAGAAAAAGATAAAAAATATGAAAAAACAAAATGGCAATGAATACATAGCTATCAACAATGGAATCTACAAACAAAATGAACAAGCAGAACAGAAACATTCTCACAGATATAGAGAACATTTTGTTGGTTGCCAGATGCGAGGGGGATTGGGGAATGGATGAAAAAGGTGAAGGGATTAAGAAGTACAAATTGGTTGCTAGACTGACAAACCTCAAAGGGAAGGGGACTGGGGGGGTGGGAAGAAATAAACCAAAGAACTTATATGCATATATGCATAACCAATGGACACAGACAACAGTGTGGGAAAAGGCAGGAGGGGGGCGGGAGTGGGGAGGAGGGGGTCAATGGGGTAAAAATGAGGAACATCTATAATACATTCAACAATAAAGATATAATTTTTAAAAAAACAAGCATTGAGGGGTAAGGTTTACCCAATTAAAGAGCAAACATTTTCCTCCAACCATTCTGAATAGAATCTTGCCCTGACTCTTTGCACTTTCTCTTCTGATTACAGAAGTATTGAGTCAGCACACAGTACCTGGCATGTAGTATATGATTAATAAATATTTGATGAGTGAATCAAAAAACACAGGCTTAATGTATAAATACTTTTTAAATACAAACAAAACTGTAAGTCTGGCCAGTGTGACTCAGCGGTGGAGTGATGACCCATGCACCAGGAAGTCACAGGTTCGATTCTGAGTCAGGACACATGCCCAGGTGTGGGCCCGATCCCCAGTGGGGGACATGAAGGAGGCGGCCAACAGATGTTCTCTCTCATCGATGTTTCTACCTCTCTCTCCTTCTCCTTTCCTCTCTCTCTAAAATCAATGAAGAAAAAAAGTTTCTTTTTAAATGTAAGGCTATTTCCTTTGAATATTCTCCTCTGTACATAGATTATATATATATGTGTGTGTCTACTTTTTATGTTTTAGACTAAACATTATCTCATGAACATTTTCTTATACTATTACATATTCTTTAAAAATGATTTTTTGACTTTCAGTCAAGATGGCGGCGTAGGTAAACACAATATCACCTCCTTGCACAACCACCTCAAAATTGCAATTGCAACTAAACTACAGAGAAACCATCATTTAGAACCACATGGAATCAAGCTGAATGGAAGTCCTACGACTACGAAATTAAAGTAGAAGCCACATCAAGACTGGTAAGAGGGGCAAAGGCAGACAGGCTGGTTCCACATCCACATGTGACAGATAAAAATCAGGAGGACAGCTGGATGTGAAGTTCCTCCCTGAGAAGTGAGGGGTCCCCGTCCCACACCAGGCACCCAGCTCAGGGTTCCAGTGCCAGGAAGAGGAGTCCCCATAACATCTGGATGTAAAACCAGCTGGAACTGAGGCTTAGGGAGGCTGAGGCGGCTGGAGCCCCAGGCAGCTCCTCTTAAAGGGCCCGCACATGGACTTACTCGGACTCGCTCCCTCTAGGCTCCAGGGTAGGGGAGGCATCTTGAAAGGCACCAGAGACATATGGGGAAGAACTAAGTTGTTTGGCATCGGGGCAAGAACTGGAGGGGCAGCTTTCTCCTGGACAGACATGCTGTCCGAAGCCTTTGTTCCTTTGGTGGGCCCTACCCCTACAGGGCAGGCAGACGGCCTCCATATCTGGGGCTCCAGCAACCTGGCTCACACTGTTTGCCCCGCCCTGGTGATTCCCTGAGGCCCCTTCCCACCCAACTTTTGGGGCCACCCAAGCTATTTCCAGTGGCTTTACCATTGGATTGGCCTCTCTTGGCTCCTGCTTCAGATTTTCCTAAAATGTCTCAAGCAGCATCTGGTCTCAGCAAGCCACATACCACTCGTTAAGTGGCCCTAGGCCTGGCACTAGAAGCAGCCAAACTTGGTTCACAGCTTGGCTTTTCCTGGGCATCTCCAAGCCCAGCACAAGAAGCAGCCATCGGCAGATCACTTTGTAGCTTACGCTGGGCGGCCCTGGGAAGAACACAGGCAGTGGCTGACCTTGCCCCAGAGCCAGCACACCCAGTGGATAGCTTCAGACCACATCAAAACACCACCACCCAAACAACCTCCACAAGTGACACACTCAATGAATGGACTCAGTGGGTAACAGAGCCCTGAGGAGGTAAGTCTTGCTCTGTGTGTTGGGCCCTACCCCACTGATCTTCCAAGGGAGTCAGAGGCCTGTCGTCATGGGCACAGCCAGTCCTTGCAGCTGATCAGCCTGAGTAAATCCCTCCCACTGATGTGCCAACACCAATCAAGACTCAATTACAACAGAAGGGTGGAGAGTCCACATTTGGGGTGCACCTCAAGAGCCCAGCTGGGGTGAACAGGGAGGTTGTGCCACTGGATCCTACAGGACACCTACAACAATAGGCTACCCTACAAAGCCTAGGAGACATAGCAACTCTACCTAATACATAGAAACAAACACAAGGAAACAGCCAAAATTAGGAGACAAAGAAACATGTCCCAAATGAAAGAACAGAACAAAACTCCAGGAAAAGAACTAAACAAAATGGAGATAAGCAATCAATCAGATGCAGAGCTCAAAACACATGGTTATAAGGATGCTCAAGGAACATAGTGAGAACTTCAAAGAACTTAAGGAAACCCCCAAGGAACTTAGTGAGAACATCAACAACATAAAAAAGGACCTAAATGAAAAAAAGAATAATTTACAGAGAATCAATAGTAGAGTAGGTGAAGCCAAGAAGTAAACCATGAATTTGGACTATAAGGAAGCAAAAAATACCCAATCAGAACAGCAGAAAGAAAAAAGAATCCAAAAATATGAGGATAGTGTAAGAAGTCTCTGGGACAATGAACATGCCAACATTTACATCTTGGGGGTCCCTGAATGAGAAAAGCGAGAGTAAGAGATTGAAAACCTATTTGAAAAAATAATGAATGAAAACTTCCCTAACTTGGTGAAGGAAACAGACATACAAGTCCAGGAAGCACAGAGTGTCCCAAACAAGATGAACCCAAAGAGGTCCACACCAAGACACATCATCATCAAACTGCCAAAGGTTAAAGACAAAGAGAGATTCTTGTTTTGTTTTTTTTATCCTCACCCGAGCCTGTGGACTAATGAGTCTGGGTTCGATTCCGGTCAAGGGCACGTACCTCAGTTATGGTTTGTCCCTGGCCCTGGTTGGGATCATGCAGGAGGCAGCCAGTCAATGTGTCTCTTCCACGTCGATGTTTCTCTCTCTGCCTCTTCCTCCCTCCCTCCCACTCTATCCGAGGATAACTGGAAAAATATCCTTGGGTGAGGATTAAAAAAATTTTAAAAGTAAATAAATGAAAAGTAATGGCACAACCCAGCTAGTGTGGCTCAGTGGACTGAGTGTCATCCCATGGACTTAGAGGTCCCAGTACAATTTCCCGACAGGGCACATGTCCAGGTTTTGGGCTAGATCCCTGGAAGGGGGCGTGCAGGAGGCAGCTGATCGATGTTTCTCTGTCATATCAATGTTACCTCTTTCTCCCTTCCTCTCTCTCTAAAAAAATCAATTAAAAATATTTTGAAAGTAATGGTACATCTATCTGACAGAAGAAAAATGGTAAAGGAGGAAAGAAAGGTAAAGAAAATGTAGATCCACTTACTTTCTTATGTAATATAGAGGGGCGCCAACAGACAGTGAGAGTATCATACTGGCCAAAGTTAATGTAGCAAGAAATTGAGACTTAAGAATTCTACTTATATTTTTAAACACAATAAAATAAAAAATAATAGCATAAATAAAATTTAGGAGGCAGAAAAATAATTGGGAGGTGGCTAAATATAGTAATTCCCATCTTTTAATAGTGAACAGTCAACTAATATTATTTAATCCAGAAACAGAAATATCAATATATTAGAGTTCATAGAAATTAAAAAATATAAATACAATTCACATATTACACTGGCATGAGAGATGGAAAGGAGAGGCAGAGATTTATTTTTCTTTTAGACCCTTATTTCTTTATTTTAAACTGGTTTTATAATGCACATGTACAACATTTATAATTTTAAAATACTATTAATATATTAAATTCTGTAGAATTTGGAAATGTCTTTTGATGGACACTACACCATTTTAAATGCTAGAAAGCTTTTTGACTTAAACATCATTAGTATTTATATATGTGATATAACTTTTTAAACAATAATAGTATGGATCTGCCTCCTGAAGTTACAGATAAAGGTAGAAAGTAATTTTAAATTGCATGAAAAACTTCACTGCCACACCCCATCCTCCCAAAGAATAAAAGCTAAGTGTTACCTATAAGATATGATCTCCTTTAGATGATTGGTTAGGAGTTTTCCTCCCACATTTATCCTAAAAAGGAAGAATGCAAATTTGGATCAGTTTATGACACATTTTTCAGTCTTATCCTAAGAAAAAACATAAAAATTAAATACAACTCACCGAATAATTGCTTCTTTTTTCTTTTTACTTCTACAGTACGGAACTATATGTGTAAAGGAGTATCCACTGTCTACAATAATACAGCATAATTCAGAAGGATTATCTCGGAAATATCTATGTGCACTGAGAGCTCCAGCTATTAAAGAAAAAGATAAAGAGACAATAAACATTAAAGTATATTTAATTTAAAACAATAAAGGTAGAAACTAAGTCAATCAAAGACAAAGTTAATTTATTATATTTTTAATTTTGACAAAACTTCTTTACAGTGTTTGAAATGTAAAATGGCTCAGCAGTTAGAGCGCTGAACCTCAGACAGAGGAGTCACGAGTTTCATTCCCAGTCAAGGGCATGTACCTGGGTTGCAGGTTCAGTCCTGTGAGGGAGGCAACCAATCGATGTGTCTCTCTCACATTGATGTCTCTCTCTCCCTCACCCCTGCTCCTTCCCTTCCACTCTCTCTAAAAAAAAAACAATCAATGGAGCCCTGGTCAGTTCGGCTCAGTAGTTAGAGCATTGGCTTGCAGACCGATGAGTCTCGGGTTCAATTCCAGTCGCGGGCACGTACTTCGGTTGCGGTTCATCCCTGGCCCTGATCAGGTTGTGCGGGAGGCAACTAGTTGATGTGTCTCCTTCACATCGATGTTTCTCTCTCTCACTTTCTTTCTCTCCTTCCCATTCTATCTGATGATAAACAGAAAAATATCCTAGGGCCCTGGCTGGTTTGGCTCAGCGGTTAGAGCATCAGCCTACAGTCCAGAGAGACCCGGGTTCGGTTCCCACTAAGGGCACGTACCTCGGTTGCAGTTTGTCCCCGGCCCTGGTTGGTCGTGCGGGTGGCGGCCACTCGATGTGTCCCTTTCACATCGATGTTTCTCTTTCTCTCTCTCTCTTCCTATCACTCTATCTGAACAAAAAAATGGAAAAATGTCCTCGGATGAGGATAAAAGAAAAATATCCTAGGATGAGGATTTAAAAAAATAATAAATAAATAAATAATAAAACATCACTTTTTTTGTGGAAAATATGTTACATTTGTGATCAATCTTAAAGGTAAATATTCATTTCATAGCTTATAATAATTATTTTAACAGCAGATGATTTTACTGAGCATTTATTATATGCTGGGCACTAAATTCCATGAGTATGTGTATTTCAATGTTTCAACAATCCCATTTTACAGAAACTGCAGCACAGAGAAGTTAAATAATGTGCCCAAAGTCACACAATTAGAAACTAACATAAAAAAAGAAAAAAAGAAAAAAGAAAATAAAAGAAACTAACAGAGCCAGGATTCAAACCTAAGCAGTGTGACTCTAGGGCAGAGCTTCTCAACCTGGAAATACTGACACTTTGGGCAAATAATTCCTTGCGGTTGGGGCTGTCCAGTGCATTGTAAGATGTTTAGCAGCATCTGTGTCCTCTGCTCACTAGATGCTAGCAGCACTCTCCCAGTTGTGACAACCAAAACCTCTCCAGACATTGCCAAAAGTCCCCTGAGGAGCACAATCACCTTTAGTTGAGAACACTGTTCTAGAGATTCTGCTCTTAACCATTATAGTATATTGTTGCTTTATACAGACTTTAATTCTGCAAGGTAAATATTTGAACACATTCATTGTATAGCCATGTAATGTAATTCTAACCTTTAATAAACTTACTTCTGGATTATATTTACAGATTTTTTTTTTCATGTTGGCAGTGTGAACTATTAACATTATTTCAATCAATAATAATAACAATAGCAAGCACATATGTTACACAAAAGATAACTACCTCAGAAACAATCATCTTTCAGAGATTAGAAATATGTGGCTAGTAACTTCATTAGGGAGAAATATATTAGTAAAAGGATAAAATGAGAGAAGTCTGACTAAATAATCTCTAAGGATTCATCTAATTTTTAAATTTCATGTCTTATTTCCTTCAAATCTAAAAGAATGTCACCCTATTTACATCCATATTCACATCACTCCATTTCAACCAAAACTTGAACTCACCATTTACTCTTAATACTGCTTGGAACTGATATTCTTCAAATAAGATTTCATTCATTGATTCTTGAATTGAAGTGAAGTTAAAATATGGTTCTGTGATAATAATATTAGTATCTATAAAATCAACCTATGAGAGAAAAACAATCCCCAAAATTTTATTATTTTGTGGTTATAAGCACATTTTACATATGTAAACAAACTTATTTTAAACTCACAATAATCCTAAAAGACAGGTCTTATCACATCTGTTTAATAGGTGGGCAAACTAAGGCACACAAGAGTTGATTGAATAAGTTACCAAGGTTCATATAACTCGTTAGTGATATAGCTAGGATTTGAACACAGGAAGTCTGGTTACAGAATTCATGCACTTTAACTATTATTCAATATTTGCTGTCTTAATGGTAGCATTAATAAAATAGTACGTACTATTAAATTGTTTAAAGATAATTATGCAAAAGCAATAAATAACTACAAGCTCTGGGGCTGTTGCTATTTTTCTTTTAAAAGTTAAAAGGGGAAAAGCTTAAAGATATATAATGTTTACATAATTCTCTCCCACCCATTCTTAAGCAGTATTAAAATTTGAATATTCTCTCTGCATAATTAAAGTAATACTACAGACATTAAAAGCACAAATTTCTCATACTGTAATATTCACACATTCAAATATGTCGGCAAAAATATTTTATTATGAAAATAAAAATAAGATGCTGAATTGGTCTAATAATAATAGAAATCTAAAGTAAAAATTTAATCTTGAGATTCATATAAACTATCTCTTCTCAAACTCAAATTCTACTTCAATACAGATATTATATTCACTTGCACTTATTTAATATTTAGAAAATCAAAGCCAGGCACAGTATATTAAGTAACTTAAGTATATATTTGCAGCATATTAAAAAGTTTATAAATCTTAAAATTCAAATAAATTTGAATACATACTCCAATTTGTTACCTGATACATTTCTTTTCCAAAAAGGTAATCCCAAACTTGTCTTTGAACATCCCAATTCACCAAGTAACCCTAAAATATTTTTTTAAATAAATTTAATTATCAAAAATATTTGAACAATTAAAAATGACATATTAATATATTCTAAGTTATCTCTTTATGTATACCTTCACCAGTCTAATGCTATTTGAATCTCAAACTTATCATGTTTTTCTCCTTTTAGAAGTTCAAAAAATTACAAATTAACAATAACCAAAATGTCAAGGGTTCAAAAGACATACCAATATGTAGAGATATGTTTCTCTATACTTGTTTTCTTTAATGTGTTCCTCATTTAAGTACATAAACAAGTAAAATTAAAATTTAGTATCCATACCCACAATCAGTAACTAAATCATGGTTATCATGGTTGGTTTTTTTGTTGTTTTTTTTTTTAACCTCACCCGAGGACATTTTTCCATTTTTTGTTCAGATAGAGAGGGAAAAAGAGAGAGGAAGAGAGAGAGAGAGAGAAACATCGACGTGAAAGGGATACATAGAGTGGCTGTTTCCCGCACGACCCATCCAGGGCCGGAGACAAACTGCAACCGAGGTATGTGCCCTTAGCGGGAACTGAACCCAGATCTCTCTGGACCGCAGGCCAATGCTCTAACTGCTGAGCCAAACTGGCCAGGGCATGATTGGTTATTTTTTTTTTTTTTTTTTTTTTTTTTGATTGATTGATTGATTTGGAGGATGGAGAGAAAGAGAGAGAGAGGATAAACATCGATTTGTTGTTCCATTTATTTATGCATTCATTAGCTGACTCTTTATGTGCCCTGACTAAGGATCAAACCCACAATCTTGGCATATCAGAACAACACTCTAACCAACTGAGCTACCCGGCCAGGGCACGGTCATTTACTTTGAACAAGACAATTTAATTTCAAGTTTTGGTTTTAATAACATCTTTTTTTTTTTTTACTTTTTTTGAAGAGAGAGAGAGAGAAACACCGATGTGAGAGAGAAACATCAATTGGCTGCCTCCTGCATGCCCCCTACTGGGGATCGAGCCTGCAACCTGGGCATGTGCCCTGACTAGGAACTGAATAGGGACCTCTCAGTCCATGGGAAGATCTCAATCCACTGAGCCACACCTGCTGGGCTTAATAACATCTTATTTAAAATTTAGCCCCAGCTTGGTTGGGTGTTGTCTGGTGTACTGAAAGGTTGTCACTGCAATTCCCAGTCGGAGTACATACCCCGGTTGCAGGCTTAATTCCTGGTGAGGTAGACGATAGATGCTTTACTCTCACAAAGATGTTTCTCCCTCCCCCTCTTCCTTCCTCACTATCTAAAAATCCATAAAAATAATTTTTTAAAAATAGCCCCGGCCCGTTTGGCTCAGCAGTTACAGAATCAGCCCGAAGACAGAAAGGTCTTGGGTTCAATTCCCAGTTAATGCCACATACCTGGGTTATAGGTTCGTCCCTGGGTCCAGGCTGTGCAGGAAGCAACCAATTAATGTCTGTCTCTCACATCAGTGTTTCTCTCTCTCTCCCTCACTCTCTCTCCCTCCCTCCTCCCTCCCTTCCACTCTATCTAAACAAAAATCAATGGAAAAATACCCTCAGGTGAGGATTAACAAAAAAATTAATAAATAAAAACAAAAATTTAAATGACTTGTTTTAGAGATCTAAAATATTTTCATACATACAAAATCTTATATATACATTTAAAAATATCTTTAAATTTAGGTCTATAATGCTAGAAATGATATACAATAATTGATATTATGATATGAAAATTACCTTTTGAAAAGGAAGGATGTAAAAGAGTCCAGAAGGGTCCTTTATTTCATCTATCTGGTTAGCAGTAAAAGTTTTAAGACGTGCTGTTTTTGACCTGAACTGACAGTTAGGAATAACCCTATAAACAAAAAATCAAATAATATAATTATTCCCTAAATATTTAGTTGCTATAAATACATTTACTTAACCATTACCCATTTCTGGATGCCAGAAAATATCCAAAACCAGTGTTTCTAATTGTCTTCAAATAATAAAAAATGTCTTTTTTTTTTCTTTCTTTCTTTTTTTAGGGCTCTAGTATATACCAGGTTATATATATATACCGGACCCTTTTTCTTTCTCAAATAATCCTCAAGAAATCCTCACAGGTGGGTACTGGTTCTGCACCACACAGATGAAAAGGGGACCTAGGTAAAATTCTTGGTCTTTCTGGCTTTAATTCATAAATTCTTAATAACATTCAGGTAAAATGGCCATAAAAATAAATTTCCATGAAGTCAAAGATTTTCAATCAGCAAGACGCTTTGAGTATGGAAGTACAAAGTGGTTTTAAATGTGGTTGCTGTCTACTGTGGGCTAACAATCTGTTTAGGAAGATAAACTAGAGCCATTATCAATCATACACACATGTACGTTTTTCTCTGTGTTTAAACACATGATTTTTTTTTAAGCTGCATTGTAGTCAATCTTATAGTTGTTGTACAATTTTAATAAATGTGGTATTCTTGATTATTTAGCATGCTTTTTTTTCTTTTGCTACCATTCACAATGTCTATAAATAATTCAGAGCATCCTGTATTGACTCTTATCAAGCATTCTCTAATTTATTCGTTAGGTAACTGATAACAGAATTGCTGCGTTAAAGGATATAAACAATGATATACATTGTTAAATGTTTTCCTTAAGACTGTAACAATTTACGTTCCTAAGGAGTTCTACTGTTCTCTTTAAAAAGAAAACGGAAAGGAGGAAGGAAAAAAAGAAAAAGAAATCATCTCTGAATAATAGAAGAAAAGCAAGTCTTTACATGTGTTTATTCTTTATGCAAACACATTTTATGACTTCTATAATAGTATTTGTTTAATTGACTAATCAACCAGGTCAACCAATGAGCACTTCGAAAAGCTTAGACACAGCTTTCCAATTCTCCAGCCACTAAGACAGTGGTTTTTTACATTTTGGGGGATCGTGGAACCCTCTGAGGATCTGAAGAAAGTTATAATCGCGTATCCAAGAAAAACGCATATACACACAAAACGTTGCCCACGCCTTCTGAAGATGAAAGAACTTTGAGTATACGGACCCCCCCCCCCTTTCCCGCTCCCCCAATGAGGAGGCGCTTCTCCAGAAGGCTATTTTACCGAGCCATTTCCGTTTACAAAACAAAACACACGTCCCACTTCCCGGCCGCACGGCCCAAAATTAACCTCAGCATTCCAGTTCAAAACCCCGAAGCACCTAGCTCGACCAGAGCATCCCCGGGCGCAGGTGAGGGCTGCGCGGGGCCGTTGGCCGTTCACTGACGCCCAGGGGTGAAGCGTGGCCGGTGAGACCACTGGGCGTACAGGCCCCGCTTCTCAGAAAAAACGAACACTTACGAGACATTTGCATGGCTGTAGCCGATTTTGGCGTTGTAGGCTCCGTTATCCAACACTAATGTCGTCATTTTTAGCACGAAACAACGCCGTTTCCTCCTCTTTCGGACACTTCTCACATTTTCTTCCGGCACTCTATGGTTTGCATGGGTGGAGCTTAAGGGCGCGCTTCCGGTATCCCTTAGCAACGGAGGACGCCGGAAGTCGGAGACCGCCCAGCCGCCGCTCAGCGGCGGGAGTCGACTGTGCGTTCCAGCCTAACCCGTTTACCGCGTGGCGAGCTCTGAGAGTGGAAGCTGCTACGTGCTTTTTCGCCCATTGCGAATGTGTCCTTTACTTCACAGTTTGACTCGCTGCTCCAACCATCTTCTAATCCCTGTAGCAAATTAGCTGTGTGTATGTGTATCGGGAGCGGGGAGGAGAATTTTACGACAGTATTGTTCAGACAGTGATGGTCTGTAAAATCAAGTACAAAATCATGCTCAGCATGGTATTAGAATTGAGGTCTCTTCAGTCTCATTCCCCGCCATTGCCCATCCTACTGTAGGATCCAGCTACCTTGAATTACAAATACGCTGTTTCGTCAACCACCTTTATTTTTTACTCACACTCCCATACTTCCTCTGTCTACTTGTTCTTTGGGACAGAGTTCTGTATCTTTCTTATGTAAAAAATCTCCCCAACATTTGACATACTTCCTCTCCTTTCCTCTTCCTAAAATTAGATGCTCCTCCTATGTGTTCCTGTAATGTTCTCTGCTAAGTCCTGTATATCATAATGGTTAAGATAATAAATTTTGGAAAGGAATCCGGGCTCTGTCACAAAATGGTTGTGTGACTTTGGGCAATGAAGATGATAATGATTAACACACGTTTAACGTGTGGGGGTTAACTGTTCTAAGAGCTTTACACGTGTTAACTAATTTAATCTTTACAATTTTTGAATTAGGTATTATTGAAATCAAAGAGATCTTAAGGGTGCAGTCTCTGACTTCTAACTCCTAATGAAAAGGGGCGGGAGAGAATAATAGAATAGAGAACTAATCATAGTGGTGTCCTAGCCATAGTTATAAGAAATCTTGGTCATCCTTTGCAATGCTAATTGTGGTTGCTTTGTTCTGATTAAAGAAAAGCCCACTCTGACCTGGCTGGGAAGTGTGTGCCTCAGGAGTTTACCTCAGGAATGCTGTCCATTCTCCTAATCTGAGGAAAAGGGGGACTACCCGACATAGTGAAAAGATGAACAACCTGATTATCTATCAGAATGCTGAACACTGGACCCATGACTGACTCACTGGCAACCAGCCCCTGCAGCCCCCCAGCCCACCTTGCAAGTAACCATTTTACCCTAATGGCCCTTTCTCACGTTGTCATTGTTTCTTTACCCTTAAAAGCAGCTGGCAAGTGAGGGGGCGGGGCAGAGCAGATTTTATGGGATAACCCACAGCTCTCCCATACGGCTGACATTTTGGAATCAACACTCATATACCATTCAAACTTGTCTCTGCTCACTTGGCTCAAGCAGTGACAGGTGGCCCCATTTGTTGTCTGGTTTCACTAGCTCCAATTCTGGCTCTGCCACTAGATGGCTGGGACAGGTTAGTTAACCTCTGTACACCTTAGTTTCTTCATCTGTGTAAAGAAATAATAACACCCCCCATGCAGAATTGTTTATGAAGGGCAAATTACAAAAGTCAAGTTCCTGGTATTAGTTATCACAATCATCATCATTATCATCATCATCATCCTTTCAACATATGATCGATCATTCTCTAACTTGCATAAATGGCAAAATCCTTGAAGTCAGGCACTCTATTCCATTGGTATCTATATCCTTTTGTTTCCAAAAGGTCATTAAATGTCCAAAATTAATTATGTCCAGTTTTAGTCGTTCTATTTTCTCTAATATCAAATTGATAAGAAACCTTACTACAAACATGTAAATAATATTTTATAAATCTTACGTCATTGAGCAGCCATCATTCCTATTTTCTCTTATCTTTTAAAATACATTCTTTCAATGCTGTCTCGCCTAATAATCAACCCTTTCACACATTTAAGCTTTTCTTTTTGCTTCCCTTTACATGCTCCTTAATCAGGATCTTTTTTGTTCTTTTTGTTTGTTTGTTTGTTTTTATCCTCACTGGAGGACATTTTTCCATTTTTTATTCAGATAGAGTGGGAGGGAGAGAGAGGAAGAAAAAGAGAAACATGGACGTGAAAGGGACACATCGAGTGGCCGCCACCCGCACCACCCAACCAGGGCCAGGGACAAACTGCAGCCAAGGTACATGGCCTTAGTGGGAACTGTACCGGGTCTCTGTGGACCACAGGCCGACTCTAACCGCTGAGCCAAACCAGCCAGGGATCTGTTTTGTTCTTAACTTCAGCTATCATTAAACACTGATAAATCCTATCGTAGAGTTTCACTCCCAACTGTAACCTGAATATTTCTACCCAGATATCCTAAAATAATCTTAAAGGCAAGGAAACTAAAACTGAATCTTATCTCCAAAATTCTTGTTCCATCTACATTACTAATCTCAATTAGTGATGTGCCCCAAGATCTACACAATGCCCTAAGCTCAAAACCTCAACTACCTTCAGCTCCAATCCTTGATTTAATCTCTGAAATCTGTCCTTGACCTTCTTTCATTTCTACTGATACTGCCTTTTCTCTCGCCTGAAATAATGCCACTGCATCCTCAATGCCCTTCCTGCCTCCATTCTCTTCTCAGCATGATCTATATTCTGTGCTGCCAGCATATTTATCAGCAAATATTTTCTAAAGCAGAAATTCGACCATCGTCTCCAAATTCACTCTCCATAGAAGCCTTCCATAGCTTGACATTGCCTATGAAATAATGTGCATGCATTTGCAATCTCATCCCCCTTCAACCCATCTTGCAGTGTAATGCTAGCAAATGTTTAACAACCAGCTCTCCAGGAAATAAAGCCCTGATTTGTAGTGTTTACCACTATTGGTGGAACAAATACTGTTACAGTTGATGATTACTAGCTATCTTGAATTAAGGAAGCACTGAACATATAGTCAGGAAGAGATGCACACAGTTGGTTCTCATGAATTGGTATAAGCCAGCTTCAGCACAGACTGTTCTGATGCTCTTTACCTTCACACTATACACTCTCTCCCCCCAAGTTTTAGCACAAATAATCTCAAGCACATAAGTACTCCTTTTCAAATATATACTTTGGCAATGTACAATTTTAAAACAGTTAAAAACATGACTCTCCTATAATGAACATGTGCAACATATTTATTTAGGTCATATTAATGAGTAAATAGCTTTAAAAATTCTTTTTTAATTTATTGATTTGAGAGAGATATCAATTTGTTGTTCCACTTATTTATGCATTCATTGGTCAATTCTTGTATGTGCCCTGAACGATGATCGAACCCACAACCTCGGTGTATCAGGATAATGCTCTAACCAACTGAGCTATCCAGCCATGGCTGAGTGAATAGCTTTATATCCTATCTTGTTGGTTCTTACATTAATCTGAGTTAATACATTTTTATGCATGTTCATTATATATTCGTATGACAGTCATTGTAACATTTTGAAAATTGATCATTAAATAGCAATTAACAAAATTGTAAATTAGTTTAAAATGCTGAATTTATGGTGGTTTTGTGACATTCTGTTCTCTCAATCCAGAGAAAGAAAAATTAAAATTATTACCAAGTATTTTCTCAATTAAAAGATACTACAACTACAATTATTTGCCTGTGGAGTTCATTGATACTAGTTACTTTGAAAAAAAACCTATATGTCCTGGCCAGTTTGGCTCCATGGTTAGAGCGCCTGCCTGCAGACTGAAGGGTCTCAAGTTCAATGCCCAGTTAAAGTCCCGAACCAGGGTTGCAGGTTCAACCAATTGATGTGTCTCTCTCATGTTGATGTTACTCTCTCTTTCTCCCTCCCTTCCACTCTATCTGAAAAACAATGGAAACAATAACAACAACAAAAATCTAGCCAAAACATTAGGCCACTTCCTATGTAGAAGCCATAAACTTTGACACCTCTCTTTAAATATATATATTTTTAAATTTATTTTCCTTTATTGATTTTGAGAAAGAGAGGAAGTGACAGGGAGAGAGAGAGATAGAAACATCGGTGAGCGAGAACATCAATTGTCTGCCTCCTGCATGCCCCTCACTGGAGATCAGGCCCACAACCTGGCATGTGTCCTGACCAGGAATGGAACTGACGACCTCTTGGTGCATGGGCTGATGCTCAACCACTGAGCCATAGCAGCCAGACTAAATATTTTTCTTTGTTGATTTTAGAGAGAGAGGGAGAGAGAAATAGAGAACAAAGATGAGAGAGAACTTTGATCAGCTGCCTCCTACACACCCCCATCCGGGGATTGGCCGGAAACCTGGGTATGTGCCCTGACTGGGAATCTAACCAGGACCTCTCAGTCCATGGGATGACACTCAATCCACTGAGCCACAATGGCTGGCCAACACCTCTCTTTTTTCATGATTGTGTTTCACTTGTTTGAAACATCCTTTCCTGCCTGGTGAATTAATTCTATTGTATCTGGGATTCTCTAAGGACTTTACCTTCATTAACTTGATTAATCCTCACAAAAACCTCATGAAGATAAATAGCAACACAAGGTTCAGAGGTTCTTTTCCTATGATCACATAGGGGAAAATATCACATTCTTTCCTATGATCACATATCTTTCCTATAATCACATATTTTCCTATGGTCACATACCTAAAAATCTACAGGGCTAGGTTTCAAATGCAAGTGTTTGACTTTAGAGCCAGTTCTTTTAACACATGAACCTGATATTCTCATCTCTGAAATAATATCTCCATTGTAATCTGTCTTTGACTAAAATCACTCCCTCCTATGTATTCTCATAGTACTTTGTTTCTGTTTTCAATTATGCGAGAGATAATAGCATTTAGATTATAGCATATGCTAGGCACTCACTTTATTTTTTTCCCAAGGGGTTTATTCGGGCACACAAGGGGACAGGGTGGCCCTGCATCTAAAAGATGTTGGGCCTCTTGGTGGTAAAGCATGGTTTGTGCTGGCGACGAAGAACCCTATAGGGCAGAGGGAACTTGATCTTGGAGTGCTGGCACTGCTTGACTGCCCCTGGGCGGCATTTGCTGGCCACAATCTCCTTTTCCTCCTTCATGATCTGGATTGAGTAGGTACAGCAAGGTGCCTGCCCCCCTGTCTAGGTCTGCAGGGAACAGGATGGAACAGAGTGAACATGCACTAGGGTCTCTGAGTAGGCACTCACTTTACATGTATAACCTCATTTAATCCTCACAAAATTTTGAGTCAGATACCATTACTCCAATAGTCATATGTGGTAACTGAGGTTGAGAGATATAAATAACCTGCCCAAGTTTACACAGCTACAAAGTGACTGAACCAGCATTTGAACCAGTCTAATGACAGAGCTCAAGGTCTTAGCACTAGTAATTTACCTTCCACACAAGGCTGTTAACTCTTTGGTGGCAGGCACATTTGTTTGTTTCTATTTAGGCATCCCTAGTTATTTGAATAATGCTCATTTTATAGTGCATGATAAATGTTAAGTGAGTAGTCAACCCATATATATCTCCTTTCCCTTCTTAGGAAAGGAACAGGTGCTGGACTATGTGAAAACTCCACCCTCTCCCCCACCCGTACCCACATATCTCCCCAAAACATCCCTCAGAGGTAGTGTAATATCTCTTCCTCTTTTAGACATCACTGGGTGGTCATTTTCACCTCTGAAAAAATGTTGGTTTGGGGTTGGGTGAAGCTGCAGAGCTGTAAGAGTTCTCCCTGTTATTTCCACAATTTCCTTCCTTTTTACAGAGATTTTCAAGTGAAATTTTACATCTTTATTTCTTTAGATACAATACACTAGTGAGGTGGGTAAGGCTGGTACTATTAACTCACTTTATAGTTGATTAAACTGAGAGTAAAAATAAGAAAGTTATTTTCTATAGGTTAACACAGCTAGAAAATACTAGTCAAGACTTGAATTTAGGCTTTTTTTTTTTTTTTATCCTCACCCGAGGATATTTTTTCTTTTTTGTACAGATAGAGTGGGAGGGAGAGAGAGGAAGGGAGAGAGAGAGAAACATCGACGTGAAGGGACACATCGAGTGGCTGCCACCCGCACGACCAACCAGGGCCGGGGACAAACTGCAACCGAAGTACGTGCCCTTAGCGGGAACTGAACCCGGGTCTCTCCGGACCGCAGGCCGACGCTCTAACCGCTGAGCCAAACTGGCCAGGGCGAATTTAGGCTTTTTAATTCCCAGGTTCTGCACTCTATTAGGGCACGATGTCAACTTATACTTCCCTTAGGACTGGAAATCACCAGAAGAAACATTACAGCATTTAGCCAGGAAAGCAAAATATCTTAGAAAAGGAAAAGAAATTGAGGCAAGACTATGAAGGCAGCAGAGTAGGCGAACAGAGCAAAGCAAGCAGAGAAGTTTGTGGAGCAAATTCTGAGGAAATGAAAAAGAGAAGTAGGATGTGGTAGGAGACTTAGTGATGGAACAGGAAGAATAACAGGTAGAGAAAAGAACTAAAGCCCAAGGCTTCTGGTTGGAAGTCAAAGCACCCAGAACGTCTGGTGATGGGGCAACGAACCTTCCGCGCCTGCCCGTAACCTGAGTTGCTCCGCCCACAACACCCTCGCCCCGCCCCCTCGCCCCGTCCCCGCCCCGCTCGCCCCGCCCCTCCTGGAGCCCATATCGCCCCCGCCCTCCCCCAGGTCGCTTAGGTGATGCTGCAGCCAAGATGGCGCAGGCGGCGTCTGCGGCGGCCTGATCGAGATGCTCCCGGTCCTCGGAGGCAGCGGCACCGGCGGCGGCTGTGGCCTCGGCCGGGGCCTCGGGTCTCTCCCGGGCGTGAGCGCTCAGGCACCTCTCCTTCGGCCGGATTAACCCGGGCAAAGAGGAAACGGCCACGAAGAGAGGAGGCAGTGAGGAGCCGAGAGAACGCGCGGCGCCTCCCGCCCCGGCACCATGGCTGGGCTCATCAAAAAGCAGATCCTGAAGCACCTCTCCAGGTCAGTGAGAGCCTCGGCGTGGGAGCCAGTCCGCCTCCGCCCTGGCGGGCAGCCCGCGGCCTCGGGCACGGCGGGGACGGCGGGGACGGGCCGCCGTGCGGGGGGCGACCCGTGGACTGCCGGCTCCAGTCGGGGCTCCGTATCTCCCGCCCCTGCGGCGCCTGGGGTTGGCCTCGCGAGCGAGCCCCCGGACGGGTTCTCCCCTGGACCGGTTCTCCCACGGCCGGGTCTGGAGAAGCGGGAAGGGCGGCCGGGGGAGGCGGCGGGCTGGGGTCGCCCTCGATACAGCGTCTGGGGGAGTCCCGGGAACACCTTGGGCGGACCGGCGGGGACTGGAGGTGGCCTGGGGTCACCCAGGTGCCTGCGTGATGTGGCAGGATGAACCCCGCTCGGTGCTCGCGTGCCCTCGGAGCAGAGGGTTCCGTTAGCCCAGGGCGTCTGGCGCGCCGGACTCTGCGGGCCGAGGCTTGTGTTCTGGGCGAAATGTTAACCTTGTTATTGTTCCGAAGTCACCGCACCTCGCTGTTTCCGCTCCGTTGATTCGGAGGGTGTGCCCGTTTGCACAGCTAGGATTTGTTTTACATAAATAGCCAGAGGTCCCGGCTTTGGCGAGTTCTTTCTGGAGTTGTTTTAGCCCCCACGACGTTCTTACAAAACATTTTGTTGTTGTTGCCTTTTTAAAAAAATCCCAGACCTATAAATTCACGGAGTCAACATCTGTGGTGATAAACCCAAGACTTGTTCTTTCCATTTCATCAGCGGTTTTAGTCAGAAACATGACTCAGTGTAGCTGGCAGTTTGTTTGTTGCTCCGGGCTTCTCCATATTTGTCTCAAGACACAGGCTAAATGTAGGATCCAAGTTGTTAACCGCCAATCCAAAGTGCTTGGTTGTGATCCTTTTCTCTGTTATTTGTCAGTGAATGGTTACTTTTAACTGATTGTAGGAAAAGACTTGTGTACAATGATATACTTGTATAGTAATGCAATTCTTGCTTCTACAGGTTGTTGTATACCACAGGTTATATATTGGGGAACAAAATCAATATTTCTGTGATTCAGCAAATACTTTCCTCATAACATTGAATAAGAGATAATGTGTGTTTTTTTTTATAACAAATTAAAGCAGCATTTATCAATATACATTTCTTAATATTGCCATTAATTAAAAAGTTTCTTTTAGAATTGTACATAGGTCCATATGAATAACTTAGTTTGGAACAACGTTCTTAAAAATTTTTTTTTCTTCATTGATTTTAACGAGAGAGGAAGGGAGAGGGAGAGAGAAACATCAATCAGAGAGAACATCTATCAGCCACCTCCTGCACACCCCTCTACTGGGGATTTGGCCCACAACCTGGACATGTGCCCTGACCTGGAATCCAACTGGCAACCTCTTGGTGCATGGGCCGATGCTCAGTTGCTGAACCACACTGACCGGGCTTGGAACAAGGTTTTATCTTTATTTTTACTATATTATTTAGGTAATGTCTGACTTAATCAGATGTCCTTCAGTCTTTCTTATACTTAGATCCACAAGAATATTCAGACTTAGAGACAATGATTTGAATGTTTATTTTCTCACTCTCCCAAGGATGATAGTGCATAGTTCCATTCTAAATGCAAGTGAGGAAAGTTCATTCAATCAGTGAGTGCCTTAGAGCATTAGAGTTTAATTCTCTTGTAGAAAAGTTGAGAAGAACTCTTTAAAAATTAATAGCCAAGGTAGTGGTTTACTCCACAAAACAGACAACACCCACATATTCAGAATTTGTATAATTTCTATCTGTGTTGTAAACAGTAATGAGGATTTTTTTTTTTCAGAGATGAGTTTTTGAAACACTTGAGTTTTTAGTTATTTCATATTTCAAAACAACTCAGGTGACTGAAGAGTATCAAATTCATATTCTTGGTTAATCTTACAACTATTGCTGTCATCTTTATGATGTTTATAAATCTAAAGGATGACATTGGATGAAATAAGGTGGTAAATAATAGTTATTCAAGTAGGGATAAACTTTTGAAATTACCTAGGTCAAGCTTAATTTTACAGATTATCTAGTAATGAAGTTGTCACTATATTGATGTGATGATCTAGAAACAGTTTAATATAGTTTAACAGGAAACACTTAAAACACGTTACCTCCTGCTGGGCCGATGTGGCTCCGTGGTTGAGCTTTGACCCATGCATCAAGAGGTGGTCAGTTTGATTCCCAGTAAGGGCACATGCCTAGGTTGTGGGCTCAATCCCCAGTGTGGGGCATGCAGGAGGCAGCCAATGGATGTTCTCTCTCATCAATGTTTCTATCTCTCTCTCCCTCTCCTTTCCTCTCTCTCTAAAATCAATAAAGTAAAAAAATTAAAAAAAGAAAGTATTTATTAAAAAATAAAACACATTACCTCCCAATAATAGACATTTCATATGGCCAGAGGATGTAACCATTGCACCTTCTCCAAGCAGTCCTTACCTGACTGACCACTTTTCTCTATAGCATTCATCCTTATATGTCATATTATATATTTGCTGTTTGTCTTCTCCACTTGAATGTAAACTCCATGATGACAGGGATTTTTGTTTTGAGTCTAGCGTAATGTACACTCAACAACTACCTTTTAAAGAAATCTTCAGCCCGGCCCGAGCGGCTCAGTGGTTGAGCCTCGACCCAAGCACCAAAAGGTCACTGGTTTGATTCCCGTTCAGTGCACATACCCAGGTTGTGGGCCCAGTCCCCAATGGGGGACATGCAGGAGGTGGCCAATCCATGTTCTCTCTAATCAATATATCTATCTCTCTCTCTCCCTCTCTCTCTAAAATCAATAAAGAAAAAAAAGAAAAGGAATCTTCATCCGAGGATATGCTTTTCATTGATTTTAGAGAGAAGAAAGGAGAGAGAGAGAGAAAGGAAAGAAAGGAGGAAAGGAAGAATGAAAGAGAAGAGGAAAAAGAAAAGAAAGATCAGTTGCCTCTCTTACTAGAAACCTGGTATGTTCCATGATCAGGAATTGAAGCTGCCATGTTTAGGTGCGTGGGACGAAGCTCCAACCAACTGAGCCACACTGGCCAGGACAACAATTATTTTTTTGAATGAATGGATGGATGAGTGGCACCAATCAACTGACTCTCCTCATATTGCCTTTTTTTTTTTAACTGAAGAAAGACTCTATGCCACCAATATTATCATAATTTACCTGTGGTGTTTAGGAAGCAATGGGTAATTGAATCATTAAATAAATGTGGTGTTTATGGTGTTCTGGAAAGGAAGGACTAGGAAAATTACCCTTTCAAGGCTGGGGAACCTTTTTTCTGCCTAGGGCCATTTGGATATGTATAACATAATTCAAGGACTATACAAAATTATCAACTTAAAAATTAGCCTGCTAACACTGGCCGGTTTGGCTCAGCAGTTAGAGCATCGGCCTGTGGTCCAGAGAGACCCGAGTTTGGTTCCCACTAAGGGCACATACCTGGGTTGCAGTTTGTCTCCGGCCCTGGTTGGATTGTGCAGGTGGCAACCACTCGATGTGCCCCTTTCATGTCGATGTTTCTCTCTCTCCCTCCCACTCTAGCTGAACAAAAAATGGAAAAATGTCCTCGGGTGAGGATAAAAAATAAATAAATAAATAAAATAAAGTGAAGGTGCTTTAAAAAAGAAAAATTAGCCTGCTATATTTGGTTAGGCTAATTTGGTGAGGCATGTGATGTTAGCTGGATTGATTTTGAGAGCCACCAGACATTCCCCACCCCTGCTATGAGATCTTTCAGTAAGGAAGAAGGCTATCTGGGAACCAACAGAATAAAGAGAACGCTTACTCTGAGCCTTGAGATTGAAGTATGGTGAAATTATAAGATTAAAACGAAAACCAGTGTTACCTGGATATAGATGCATGAGAAACTGGCTTTGAGTAAATGCTGAACTATTTCAGATGTTTAAATCTATATACTTGTTCCTTGCCTAACTGTTTAGTTTCTATCCTAAGCATTTCTTGTATTGTTAATAAAATCAGTTGTATACTTGGAGCTGATCTGAAACTTATAGGTATAGGGGTAGGGAGAAGAAGGGAGGGAGAGAGGAGGCCATTTGTGTGTGGTGTGTGGTGGAGGTTGGATTTGTTACATTTAAGAGTAATGGAACAGGAAGTCTTTGAAGGAGAAATTACCCTGATCTTTCATACTGTACTTGGCACAAAATATGCTTTGGAAGGTTTCCTAGAAGTGTCCTTTTTCACAGGGGGATGGAAAGTTCTAAAGAAAAGTTATAACAAGTATCAGGAAGGAAATAAGAGCAGAAGCTACCTTTCAGCTCAAGACCTCATTATCTTTTACTGTGTGTGTGTAGTGCATGCATGCTGGCACAAAGGCGAAGGATTGGGGCGAGGAATAGTAGCTGGAAGATAGGGTGTATTTAAGTCAGGACCTGAAAAGGGGGTAGGGAAGATTCAGCTATAAATGCTTCCTCTTCCCCTCTGGCTCCGTGCATACTGTAATGGGCACAATGTTTACTGGTGGGTGGGAGTTGGCAGGACAGACATACACCACACCTGAGTGGAGCCTTTGTATAGTTTAAAGTAGTGGTTCTCAACCAGAGGTGATTTTGTTTCTCTGGGGAAAGTTGGCAGTGTCTGGAGACATTTCTAATTGTCTTAACTGGGGTGGTGGAGGTGGGGGTTAAGGATACTGAGTCTAGTGGTTAGAGGCCAGGAATACTGCTAAACATCTTACAATGTATAGCACATTCCCCCACAGTAAAAGTATTTGGTCCAAATGTCAGTAGTTTTGAGGCTGAGAAACTGGTTTAAAGGGTACACATGTGGCCCAGCCGGTGTGACTCAGTGAATTGAGTGTCGTCGTCCCATGGACTGAGAGGTCCCGGTTTGATTCCTGGTCAGGGTACATGCAGGAGACAGCTGATCGATGTTTCTCTCTCACATTGATGTTTCTCTGTCTCTCTTTCTTCCCCTCTAAAAAATCAGTAAAAACATATTTAATAAATAAAGTGTATGC